ATTGGACCTGAGCAAGTGGGCCAGTTCATGGCGTTTCTGAGTATTTTAAAACTAAAGTGGCTAACATTTCAACAAATTTTTAAAAAAAGTTTATGGGAAATTTCTATTAAAGTGATCATCTAAACAATTAAAAGAAATCATATAATTGGCATGTTTCGAAAATTATACGATTATTTATAAAAATATAAGCTAAGCATATTTTGACTAAAAAATTAAGGACACAGTATAATTTTACCAGTTCTCTCGCTTGACACATTATTAAATATTGATGGAACAAACCCCCCCCCCCTTCTTTCTCTTGCAGGCTCAGAAGAATAAGTTTTGTCGAAGTCTTGTGGTAAACAAATGTACTGTGATCCAGTTGAATAGTCCCTCACGGTTTGAAAGTTCTGCAGCTGCCCGTGCAACAGAAGTGGCATCCTTCAATAATTCATCTTCCAATTTTGCATGCCTCACCAGAAGAACTTTGTTTTCAGAATATGAATATATCTACAATAATCCATTTCTTGACTCCCAGTGCCTGATATCAGGTGCTTCCCTCAGATGAGTGGGGCAGGTTCTGGAGAACATAGGGACAAGCTCAGCATAATGAAATAAACTCTTTAATTAAGCTGCATGATCAATTAATTGTGTTTATTAGCAACATGCAGTGAACTTTTCAGAAAAGCATATGGTCAACGCATTTGATAAAAGGAACCATGCCTATAAAGTTATTTCTTTGGCCAGATTATCCAATATTAGAAGAATTAGCTTAGTGTGAATCGCCATTGGTATAGGTGTATCTTTGTATGAGCGCACTCCGTAGATCGCTCCAAACCTTAATCCGGCATGTCACTCCCCTTATATTTATACGGAGGGATGCGCCCAGGTCCAGTTTCTACTCTGTAGCCAGCCAAAATTAACATATGTACGTAATGTGTTATACATTCTTCTGATATAGTGCTTATAGTTGCAGGGATATTACTTTAGCCCATTTCTGAGCTATTATAAAACTAATAAAGGCATACAAGATTTCAATTTCCTTATTCAAGTAGCTTTATAGAGTGCTTCGAGTTTGGACGCCGGCATATGGATTTCAAACTGAACTTAAAACTGCGTGGAGCTGAGGTTGAGGCAGCCAAGTTTATAGGATTTCTAGACCATCGCACCTCCAAGTAATTAATGATATTGGAGACGAAACATGAATTTAATTTGTCTGATATAGAAATAATATTACCGGATTCTGGCTGTCCGCTCGTGTCCTGCCTCAATTAAACAATTCGGCCAATTCCCTCTTGAGCTGCTTCAGTTAGGCTTCACTCTTATTCTTCAAAACCTATATGCACTACAAAAAACAACTGATTAGTGACGGAATTTGCGACGGAAACAAATTCCGTAACTAATTTTTAACGGAATTGCGACGGAAATTTCGTCACTAATTTTTTCAACGGATTAGCGACAAAATTTTTCCGTCGCTTAGCGACGGAATTTCTGTTCGTCGCTAAATTCCGTCGCTAATCTGTCAGAAAATCCATCAGTAAATATTTAGCGACGGAATTAGAGACGGAATTTTTTCCGTCGGAAATTTTCATCGCTAAATTGTTTGTCACAGAAGTTTTTGTCACTAATTCCGTCGCTAATTCTATTCCGTCGCATTCATGTCATCATTATGTATATACTGAAAATAGAAAGATAATTTCTTAGAAAACTTATTTATATTTGTTAAAATAAATTCCTCTTGATATTAATAATAATTAAAAAATACAATAAGATTATTAATAACTTTTTATACAAAATGATATAAGAAAGAAATAATTTTATCATATTTAAAATATATTGAAATATATAATATGTGATAGAAATTCAAAACGATTTAATAAATTTATAGTGATGCCTGAAACCGCCAACTTTGATGCAGTTTTGCCGGACACGTACTTAAATTATTTTCATTTCCAACATACCCAACATAACATTTCTTACAATTTAAAAACCTTCCTCGCAAAATCACCACCAATAAAGCCATATATAACATTTTGGCTATATACCATTTTTAGTTACTTCTATTCAGAAAATGAGTTTAAAGCTGGTAGACAATAAATGTTAGCCAATAAGGGTAATAATTCACACCATTTTGCCGGCTTGAAGCTTCTATTTAACGTGTTCGTCTTTTTGGCCCCAAAAAAAAATCTTCGTCTTACTAGGATTCCTGTATTAGCTAGCATTGCAATTAATTCAGCAGTCACCAAACATCCTCTTGTCATCAACTTAGAAACGATTCGTGCATTGGAGCGACGATTTAATTCTTGAACCTTTCAATTCTATGAAAGAAATGGAAGAAACATATTCCGCGCACCCCATGAAATCACAATTCTTTTTTAGTTTTTTACATTATTATTTGTAATGCTCATATTTTAATAGTTTATTAGAGTCTTTTAGCAAAGATGAAAATGTAAATCCTGTTTCGTCAAATCAATGAAAATGTAAATCCTGTTTCGTCAAATCAGTTAAGTGCATTCCATAATTTTTATATTTTAAAAAAAACATAAGTTTGTTGACTAGCTTGTGTAATAACATGCTGCCGGCACTCCCCCATCCCTTTCCTGTGTAGTGTCAAGATTAGACGGGTTTTTGTCATGCAAAGAATTTCCGAAATGAAATGAAATGAATTGTTTATAAATTATGAATAGTAGTTTATTATAAATTTTATTCATATTAATTAATTTTCCTAAGTACCAGTATTTATTAGAAAATCTAACCATAATTGGTAAAATTTCATTTCTTGTCTTATCTATAATTAAATAAATATGAGTTTTAAATTTTCAACCTAATAATACACGCACGCTATCTATATATAAATGTGGAAAACACAGAGTTTTTGACTCTTAAAATCAAGTTCGTGTGACCAGGAAATAAGATGGGAACGCCAAACAAAATGAATGAACTCCAGCAATATCAAAGGGACCGAATAACAACAGAATAGATTTATCAGAGTGTGAGCAAAATTATTTAACTTTTGGGTCTCTTAAGTGCGTGAAAAATTATTCAACTTTTGTGTCTCCTAAAAGCGTGAGCAGAAACACTCCGCTCGCAAGTTGCCAATTAATATGAACTCCGTGGATAAAGAATTATTCAACTATTTGGATAGATTTGTTACACAGAGGTGGAATAAAACCAATAGATTTATCAAAAGCATATCGGTGTAACAAGACTGTTAAGATGAATGTACCATTTTAAAAAACCAAGACGATGATAATTTTCAATATGATCGAAAGATGCAAGCTTCATTAATCAATTGACGTTACATATTCGTATGCTAACATGTTTTCAACTTCTCCTTGTTTCATGAGGGAGATTATATATGTGTATATAGAGGGTTCAAGTTTTGTGAGTTACACCTCAATGGCCCTTTTTGTCAACCAGTCGACCCAATAAGATGGCCAAATCTAAGCCCTTTATCATGGTAGATGCAGCTTGACTGACGGGACATGTCTTGGAAAATCCAGGCTTCCCAGATTTCTGCACTCTCGCCATGCAATTCCTCAACCTCTTATGGCATTTCAAATGAAGCATACCTGGAAGATGCGTGTTTTATTAGTTTGCAAGTAATCTTGTAAAGGCAAATTAATCTCAATAATCAAAATTCAAATGATAATACTCGTTAAATATGTAATTAAAGAAAGAAATCCTAGGAGTAAGCACTTTGTCAGTTAAATATTGATCCAAAATAACAGAAAATACTGATGAGGGTGATATATATAACAGCTAGGAATCACATAAAAGTACTCATTAGTTCAATAAAACTAAACATCAATGAACGATACATGCTGCGATCCGCGCAGGGATGAAAGACTGAATTCCCTGCTCCCAAAGGGTCCTGATAATGAAGGCAGGAAACGGAAGCCGCCACTTTGTCAATACAGAAAATAGGAAGACGGTGTAAACGGATCTGGAATAGTTTATAATCATACGAATGAACTGTGAAATACTCTCGTTGCATGATTTTGTTAGTTGCAGATGAGGATCGGCAATAGCCAAAACAAAATGATGAAGAGAGATAAATACCAAATTTATCAACGCAATCGTCATGATTCCTGCAACATGCATCGAGATCATCGCACGGCGCCTCGCCAGGACAGCCCGTATACCCGGCTCCGCAATATTTCCCATAATTGATGAAAACATCTATATGAATTCAGAAACAACAAAGTCTATCCATTAACGATGGAAATTAAACAACACAGGAACAGTCTACAGATATCAAGAGGAATTATAGCTTTATCTTACTATCACATCTCTCGGCAACGCATTGCCGGCTGCAATTGGCCTGTCATTCGGAACATGCAAACGGTCACATTTTTCATGTTCATCAAAACAGATGATGAATTCTATTCTACATAATAAAAGAAAAACGGATGAAGATGAAGGGAGCGAGGTGAGATCGTCGATCAACCTCATTGAATGAAATAGAAGACTTACAATGGGTTTGGAATCAGAGGAGCACTCGGCTAAGACGAAGAGAAATATGAAAAAGACGACGAGTGCCGCGGAGGCCCGTGAAGTGCTAAGGCGCAGCATCGCTGATCGTTTTCAGAGAAACCAAACAGGGCCTTCGTCGCCCAATGCTCCTCTCGCCGGGTGATCTGCTATTTGCGCGCTCTCGATTCTCTTAACAGGGAGGCAGGCGATTTCGAAATTACGGGAACACCCTTCTGATTAACCAAACGATAAAAATGGACGGCGACCCATTCTCGCAGCATCCAAACACATTGATTTGGCAAACGTGTTTATTTTAAAACGTACAGCTTTTATTATGCCAAACCTGGACATGAGGAAAAAAACTGAAACTTTCTGAAAGTACGGACAATCGGAGAGCAACAGCTCCCATTCCCTTCCCTTCCCATCCTCTTCTTTCTTTTCCTCTTCTCTTTTTATCAATATCTTTTTTTTTTTTTGGGAAATGAGCAAGCCAGTGCTTGCGAAGCTGATCGAAGCCGCGACCTGTTGCACCCTGGGCAACCAACATGCCACTACACCACAGCGGTGCTGGCTTTTTTTTTATCAATATCTGAATGGTTCAAATTTAATCTTTTATTGGATTAAAAATAATTAATTAAATTTACATGGCTAAATTTTGATATAAATAATGTAATACCACGATAAAAAAAATTGTATAAAATCAAATCTGAACGTTGATCTTGTGGCTACAATAAGAGCTGGCCAATGAATCCCCTTTCATAGCTACACGGTCGGAATATCTTAGATTCACAGATGTTCGAATGGTAATGGAAAACTGCAATTCATCTTTCAATCAATGATTCTCACACCTCGTAATTTATAATTTATTAATAAACCGGATTCGACATAAAATTGGGAATACACTCGATCGTGGCCTAATCATCATCCAACCAAAAGTCCGGCTGCTCCAAGTGGTACTGGTACAATGCATCAACGAACCCGTAAAGTGCATTGTTATTGGCTATTTGTACACTCGTTCCTGCAAGTAAAGTACTTGAATTTTTCGTCCTTAACAATGAAATTCATCATGGCCCAGATCATCAAAATTAAAACATGGATTTAACGCCAAGCCATGTTTATTTATATGTTACTCAAACTGATGGCAGGGAGGATCAGCACTACCTTCCAATTGATCGCAAAACAACGCACGGTTAATCCCGCTTCGAATACATGGGCTTATTAAGCCTTATCTAAGTTCAACACCAGTTTGTTACTTTCGTGTGTCAAAGATCAAATTCCAGAAAATCAAAAATCGGCTTGTAGAATGCACCATAATAAATGGCCAGAGAAAGATTTTTCTTTCCTCAAACGTAGTAACCCGTAAAAGTGAACCCCCTTCCAACAATTTCACCGGCACAAAACCAAGCAAAGCACTCCAGGCCAAACAAAGCGGCAATACCTGCATCTTCAACCTTCAGTTCTCGTCTGTTCTTCCACAAGTTCTTGACATAATCAAGCTCCTTCCAAAATGACTCGCAACGACCAGGAATGCTGTAAGAAATTGATACACATTAGCTATGACAGCCAAAGCACACAAAAGTGGAAGCGGCTAGATTTATAGTAAATCTACAAGTCTACAACTGAAAAGTAACAATGGCATTCGAGGCTAAAGCAGAACTGCAGGTTCTCAGAATCCATTGCCTCGTCACATGGTTAATTCATTAATGATAGTGATGGCACATAATATTTTAAAGGAAAGCCTGATTTGAAGATGATATGGGCATCCAATACTAGTATTGAGATATTACGCAGATAAAATTGTTATATCACGGGGTGTAGGCTGTAGAGACACTCATTAGAAGAAAGCAGAGACCATTTGCATGACGATGAAAAGGACAAAGTGGTGGCTTTGACATTGTATTATTACTAACAGCACTTGCTTCAATTAACATATATTTTAAGTCTCACAACCACATTACAAGGCGCATCTCATTCAAGTCATAAAGTCAAAGTAAAAAACCATAAGCTAACAGATTATTATTAACGTTAAAAATGGCATCATGAAGTGATAGTGAATAACTGAAGAGTCTAAATTAAAACACATTCCAGTCATATGATTGTATCCATTGTATTCTTCCTTTAGCATCCAAAAATTATATCTTCAGAGTTAATTATGAGGTAATAATTAGAAATTCCATTGTCATTCTAGACTCCAGGAGTAGTTACTTGGCAAAAAATAAAATATTCTTTCGAGACCCTAAATTTTCTGAAGAAAATCTAAGAAACAGGTATTAAGAATATATAAAAAGCAGTTATATATAGTCTTCAACTCAAACAAGCTATGTTCATGTCCAGTGACCATTAGCAGTACATTCTCCTTGGGTTTGGAAACTTTTGTAGGCGGTCGATCTGGTTAATTAACAAGCATGCAGCGCAACTGTAATATGTAGTATATAGTTATGTATACGATTGCAACTTAGTGCACGCAACTGGTTTAGTATATTAGACATGTGAATTTTAAAAAGACATCAATATAAAGGTAACAACTAAGCACAATACATCAATCACCATAAGTGAGCAAGCCACTCACAGCATTGGCAAGATATGCATGTCTTGGACCGGATCAAAGTATTTAATTACAAAGGAAGAACTAGATTGATCATCATCCCATAACTCTTCGATGAACAGGGGGTAAATTCAGTTTGAATGCCAAGTTAAGATGCTTAATCACAAGACTATATACTTCCTTTGTCTGCCTTCCTATAAGAGTGCACAAGTTTTCAAATGCAAAGTATAACTGTATGAGCCGCAGACACCATAGGCAAGACCAGATTCGCATACAGAAATTCAACTATACAGTTCAGCTCAATAAGTTCTGCCCCAGAAAGGGCCCAATATAAAATATTTTATAAAGTGAAAACTGCCATGAGCAACATTTTGAAAGAACAAGGACAAGTTTGAAGGAAATATAACCTAGCAAGTCGAGTATAAAATAATTGCTTTGCCAGTAGGTTGCATTTCTCCACGGTAGGTGGCTCCTGAATGTATTGCTTGTTCTCCTCTAACAACTGCTTGTAGTAAGGGGTCCCGCGCTTAACTACAAATTGTGATGCTTGGCAAGCTTTGGATTGCAATTGCCGCAACTTAGATGCCATCAGTGCTGCAAATTAGGCAAAGAAAGCTCAGAGTCCCAACAAGGGAAAGCAAATATAAAATAATCCTTAAAAATGAAATTATCTTGAAATTGATTATTTTTTCGTCCCCCAAATTTGATTTAAATTCAACTGCTTACTGGTAACATTGAAGGACATAACTAGGACTGATCAAGACGAGTTTATCATACACTTTATTCAGTAGAACAGGACATGACATTTTAAATATACTCTTGTTAAATTTAGGCCTTGAAGAAATAGAGCAAGAATTTATTTTATGTCTATCGCCAGCAACACGAAAAGAACACGAAGGAGCTCTTTACCAGAGATGATTATCCCAAATCATTGAAATTGGATTCAACAATCTAATGAATATCCTCCAATTATGAAGCATAAATGACTTTCAGCAATATTTGTTCCATAAAACCATTTGAACTGAACACCTAGTCTTAGACTGCCGATGGAGGTGTACTCTAGGTCTGATCACAACATTGGATTAAAAACAACAGCTCATCCTATAGTTTTCACAGAGAGAGATTGAACTAAAAATGCCAAATTGGATTATGGGTGCAAAATCAAAACTCTAAAATCTCAACATTTTCGTGTTATATAACACACACAATGATTCGAAACCACCTCCCCTAACATGTTGAAGTCCCAAGAGCGAAATGCTAGGAAATGAACGGTAGAGAAGGAGATCAGAGAAAAGGCTCAAAATCTAAAAGGCAAGGGCAAGTCTCTAGGAGCTAACATCAATCAGATGGAAAGAAGTGATAAATAAATAAATAAATAAAAGGCGAAATTGGTTTCTGAGGACTTTACCTTGTGCACAAGTTGAATGCGAAGTCAGCTGTTAATCAGAATGGTCTCCACCGCCGCTACCGCACGGCGCTGCAAGTAGAATGTGAGGAAGAACGAGAGTGCGAAAATTGCGTGTATAGCCAAAAATTGAGATCAGAATTTGGGGTTGAAGTTTTAGCCTGCGTGCCGCGTGACGCGAAATGCACCAGCTGCTTATTACTTCGATTCCTTTTTTTTTTTGTAATTTCTTTTGGGCTATTAAGACAAATGTGGCCGTCAGATTGACCCAATATGTAATTAACTTGGCCCATAGAACAATATCCAAAAAATTCCATCCACCCCTATCTCGAAAGTGACAGCCCAGTCTAGGCCCTTCATCGCATTGTGATCCCATGTGATGCAAAAAGTAACATCTGATTTATGATTCGATTCATTTTGCATATTATTACTGATTCTATTTCAATATATTTATTACAAATGTCCCAGACCCCCAAAAAAAATGAAGATGTGGTTAAATTATACTACCTCCTATTTTTAATATAAGAGTTAGTTTGACTTTCAATTCGGTCATAGATACTAAATCTAATCTTTAATATAAGATCTAGTTGACTAATTTGAGTAAATTAAAAAAAATTAGTTAAGTTAATTATTTGTGATAAATAGGTGTTGTTTTTTTCCAAAATATCCATCTTAATCAAATGTAATGGCTAAAATTACTATTATTACAAGGACTGCTTTGAGAGAAAATGAATAAATATGAGAGACAGAGTGAATTGAAATTTTATATTTATGATCAAAATAAAAGTTAGACGAACTCTTATACTAAGGATCAAATGTAGTATAAAATCACAATTCTCTTTGTCTTTCACATTTGTCCATTTTTAATATCATTTTTATTATAATTGCACATGTTTAAAGTTTTTATCAAATAATAGTTCTAACTAATACACTTGATTAATAAGAGTATTTTAGAGAAGATAATACTTACTTTTACAAATAACTAACCTAACTAATTTTTTTTAATATATTCAAATTAGTTAACTAAATCTTATATTAAGGGTCCAGAATAGTAGTTTCAATTATATGTTTAAAATTGAATGGAAATTTTATATATCAATATTGAAATTTTATTTTTTGTAGTTTTAAATTGAATATTATCACCCGTGGTTGAAATAGTTCAGCGCTAGGAGAATTTTCATACTCATGTGACTTGCTTGACTCAATCCAAATTACTCGAAACCCATGTGACCTATATACCACGTATCAAATTAAAATAAATATGTTGGAATCCAGTTTTAACGAACATGTATTAGGGTTAGGTCAAAGATTTAGTTTTATTTTTAATTAAACGCAATGATAGCTATTACTGGATGCTGGACTCTTACCAGGTTCTTGTTTCGAGACTCTTGGGTTGAATGTCAATTACTTGCGACTTGTGAGATTATTTTAATATATTAAACGGGGAAAAAGTGACCAACACAAGTAGAAAGAACTCGAATACTTTAAACACTGTGTTATGGGTTCGATTCTTAGGACGGTATGTATAAAAAAAATTTTATTAGGTGTTCCTGTTACAGCACCTGACAGTATCCCGAGAGATTAGCACTTTAGCAACAACCAAAAAAAAAAACTGTTGGGGGGAATGTATTCAAGTTAATCACTAAGGAGAATTTTTAATGTTCCTGCATTTTTGCATTTACTAATTAGAAGTAATGTTTGTTAATTGTGGTTTTTTTTGGATGCTTTTTCTTATAATTACTTTGAGAATATTGATTATGTTTGAATTTTATTTATTAAAATCACTTATATAATTACCAAAAAAAGGAATAAGAGTAGACAAGAGATATATAATTTAATATAATCATTATAAGCACTTATTAATATTTAAATATAATTTTAGTTTAATACTTATTATCTAGGATAGATAGGAGAAATTTTCATTATTGAACCCCTATTGGAATTTTTTAATTGCAAAAACTACATCAAACGGGTTTATTGGAGCTTAAACGGCTTAACCAAATAGAGAACAAGTACCGCAAGAGCCGGCCAATAAATTCCCCCTTCATTCACGAAGGCCTTAGCATAAGCTGTGGCGAAACAGATTGTCGCGGCCATAACTACACAAATGAAAAATCTGGGATTCCCAGATGTTCAAATTGTAATGGAAAACTACATTCCATCATTCAATCAATGATTCACATACCTCATGCTTTATAATTTTAAAAATTATAATACTATCTCCAATCCTTAATATAAGAGTTTGTTTGATTTTTATTTTGATCTTAAATATAAAATCTCCATCTCCTTTGTCAGGATATTTATTTATTTTTCCTAAAATAGTCCTTATAATAATATTAGTTTTAATCAACACATTTGATTAGCAAGAATATTTTAAGAAAGACAACATCTATTTAGTACAAATAACTAACTTAACTAGTTTCCTTAATTTACTCAAATTAGTCAACTAACTTTTATACTACCTCTGGTCCTAATTATAAGACCCGATTGACTTATTTGAGGAGATTAAGGAAGTAAGTTAAGTTAGTTATTTGTAATAAATAAGTGTTGTCATTCTTAAAATATCCTTACTAATTAAGTGTATTGGCTAGAACTATCATTATTAGAAGGACTATCTTGAAAAAAATGCATAAATATGAGAGAAAAAATGGATTGGGGTCTTATAATTAGAACCAAACAAAAAATCAAACGGGATCTTATATTAAAGACCGAAGGTAGTATTAACGACTAGAGATAATAATAAACAGGATTCCACTTGGGGATACAATCAATCCTGTTCTAATAATCCAACCAAAAATCTTATCAATGCACAAGTGGCAAAATCCATTAACGAACCCGTAAGTACATTGGCATTGGCTATTTGCACACTCCTTCGGGCAAGTAATGTGCTGAAAAAGCTTTCGTCAACCTCCCCCTCTTGAGCAGGAAGAGGAGGAGACCGATGATGAGATTTAACCTTGCTGCTGTTATTTTGTACTGGCCTATGATGAGTGCAGTTTTCATTAAATGAAAAAGAAGAAGCAAGTTTTCGTCATTAACAATGAAAATTCATCAATGCCCGAACTATCAAAATTAAATGATGAATTCAACGCCAAGCAAGCTAGGTTTATTTATATGTTAATCAAAGTTTCGTTTGGGTGAATTCATGAGCAAGGGAGGTCAGCGCAACCTTCCAAGTGATGGCAAAACAATGCAATGTTAATCCCGCTTCGAATACACGGGCTTATTAAGGCTTATCAAGTTCAACACCAGTTTGTTACTTTCGTTTTTCTAAGATCAAATTCCGGGAAAAGAAAAAAAACAAAAAACAAAAAACAAAACAAAAATTGGCTTGTCGAATGCACCATAATGCACACAACGCATAAATGGCCAGAGCCCCACGAAGTTTTCTTTTTCCCCCCTGAAGTAAACCCTGCCGGTGCTTATTCTCAAACATAGTAACCCGTAAAAGTGAATCCCCTTCCAACAATTTCACCGGCACAAAACCAGGCAAAGCACTCCAGGCCAAACAAAGCCGCAATACCTGCATCTTCAACCTTCAGTTCTTGTCTGTTCTTCCACAAGTTCTTGACATAATCTAGCTCCTTCCGAAATGACTCACAACGACCAGGAATGCTGTAAGAATTTGAAAGGCATTAGTTATGACAGCCAAAGCACACAAAAGCGAAAGGAGCTAGATTCACAGGAAATCTACAAGTCTACAACTGAAAAGTAACCATGGCATTCAAGGCCAGAGCAGAACTGCAGGTTCTCAGAATCCACCGTCTTGCCACTTAATTCATTAACGATAGTGAAGGCACATAATTGTTAATGAAAACCTGATTTGAAGATAATATGGGCATCAAACACTGGTATTGAGATATTAAGTATTTAACATTGTTATATCACGTGATGTAGGCTGCAGGGACACATTCGAAGACAGCAGAAACAATGTGCACGACGATGAAAGCACAAGTGGTGACTTTGACACTGTATTATTACAAACAGCACTTGCTTCAATGAACAAATCTTTGAAAGTCTCAAAAGCATGTTACAAGGCGCATCTCATGTAAGTCATAAAGTCAAAGCAAAATGCTATATGCTAATGGATTATTATTTAACATTAAAAAAATGGCGTCATACAGTGAGTGTGAATGGGTGAAGTGTCTAGATTAAAACATATTCCACTTATATGATTGTATTCATAGTTTTTTCCCCCCCTCTCTTTAACATCCACAATTTATATCTTCAGAGCTCATTTTGAGGTAACATTTAGAAATTTCATTGTCATGCTACATTCTAGAAGCAATTACTTGACACGTAATAAAATATTCTTTCAAGACCCAAATTTTTCCGAAGAAATATAAGCAACTAAGATTAAGAGTATGTATAAAAAACAGTTATATATAGTATCTGACTGGAATAAGCTATGTTCATGTCCAGTGACCATTCGCAGCACACTCTCCTTGGGACTGGAAACTCTTTGGCAAGCAGTTGTTCTGGTTAATTAACAAACACGCAGGGCAAGTGCAATATATGGTTATGCATAAAATTGCAATTTAGTGCACGCAACTGGTTTAGTATATTAGGCATATGAGTTTGAAAAAGGCATCAATAAAACGATAACAACTAAACACCATGCATCAATCAACAGAAACGAGCAAGCCACTCACATATGCATGTCCTGGAATGGATCTACGTGTTTAATTACAAAGAACGATCTAGATTGATCATCATCCCATTTCTATTTGATGAAGAAGGGCCAAATTCAGTTTGAATGCCAAGTTAAGATGCTAAATCACAAGACTATATACGTCCTCTGTCTCCCTTCCAACATGAGTGCACGAGTTTTCAAATGTGAAGTATGACTGTAAGAGCCAAAGACACAGTAGGCAAGATCAAATTCGCACACAGAATTGCAACTGTATAGTTCAGCTCAATAAGTTCTACCCCAAAAGGGGCCAATATAAAGTATTCTGTAAAGTGAAAACTGCCATAACCAACATTATGAAAGTACAAGGACAAGTTTGAAGGAATATATAACCTAGCAAGACGCGTATAAAACAACTGCTTTGCCAGTAGGTTGCATTTCTCCACGGTAGGTGGTTCTTGAATGTAATGCTTGTTCTCCTCTAGCAACTGCTTGTAGTAAGGGGTCCCACGCTTAACTACAAATTGTGATGCTTGGCGAGCTTTGGATTGCAATTGCTGCAACTTAGATGCCATCAGTGCTGCAAATTAAGCAAGGAAAGTTGTGAACCCCAACAAGGGAGAGCAAATATAAAATAATCCTTAAAAATGAAATTATCTTGAAATTGATTATTTTTGTCGTCCCTCAAATTTTGACTTAAATTCCACTGCTTACTGGTAACGTTGAAGACGGAACTGGAACTGATCAGGACAGGTCTATAATACACTTTATTAAGTGGAACATAATATGACATTTTTAATATACTCTTATATTGTTAAACCTAGCCATTAAAGAAATGGACCAGCAATTTCTTTTTATGTCTATCACCAGCAACTCAAAGGAAACACGCAGGAGCTCTTTACCAGAGATGATTATCCCAAATCATAGAAATTCGATTCAACAAATCTAATGAATATCCTCGCACTGTGAAGCATAAATGACTTTCAGCAATATTTGTTCCATAAAACTATTTGAAATAAATACCTAGTCTAAGACTGCCGATGGAGGCGTACTCTGGGTCTGAACACAACAACGGATTAACAAAAACAGCTAATCTTATAGTTTTCACAGAGACAGGTTGTGCTAAAAATGCCAAATTAGCTTATGGATGCAACATCAAACTCTAAAATCCCAACATTTTAATATATAAACACACACAATGATTTGAAACCACCTCCCCAAACATATTGAAGCTCCAAAAGCGAAATCTAGGAAATGACAGGAGATAAGAAGATCAGCCAACGCCCAAAAGGCTCGAGATCTAAATGGCAAGTCTCTAGGGGCTAAAATCAACCAGATGCAAAAAGGTAAATATAAAAAATGGCGAAATTAGCTTCTGAGGACTTTACCTTGTGCACCAGTTGAATGCGAAATCAGATATCAATCAGAATTTTCTCCGCCGCCGCTACCGCACGGCGCTGCTAGCAGAATGTGAGGAAGAAAGATAGTGCGGAATTTGTGCGTACAACGATGACCTTCGTGATGCGCAAATTGCTTCGCTTGCTTTATTTTTTTTTTTCGTCTCCTAATTTCCCCCTGCAGTATCTCTCTAGAGCCTGGTAAGATGAATTTGGGCCTCAAAATTGACCCAATGATTAATTAACTTGGCCCATACAACAATATCCTGAAGAATCCGATCCATCCACTTTCGACAGTCATGCCCCAGTCTAAGCCATTCTTCTCGTTGTGGTCCATGATGTGATGCAAAATGTTGACCTCTGATCACTGATTTGATCCGTTAGTTTTGGGTCTGTTTGGCTCAATGAGGAAAAAAAAACATGGAAGAAATTTTAAAAGAAAAAAGAGAAGGAAAGGAGAGTGAAAATATTTTAATATTACCGTATTTGAATTTATAAAAAAGGAGAGGAGGGGAGGGAAAAATATTTTAACATGGACAATTTTGCCTTTATCTTATTTAAGATTATTTTTTTCAAATTTTATAGAATGTTTAATAAAATAGAATTGTAAATAACATTTAATATATTGAGCAATACTTATACCAAAATTCTAATATACTCTAGAGCTTGAAGTATTATTGAAAAAAAGGCTGCAGTAGTGTTCAGCCACAACTTGTACTGTATCTCATCTTTGAATAAAATATTTAGTCATGCAAAGAAGAGAACAGCATTTGGAGACAAGAAGAAAAGGATTTAGGGTAGTATAGGGATATTAAAAATAAATATAAGTATAATGGTCATAACATGACAAAATATTATCCTTTCTCTCCAAATTCTTCCAATTTTAGAGGGGAGAGGAGAGAAGATTTTTTTTAAAATTTTCCTTCCCCTCTTAAAATTTGTGTGTTGCCAAATAAGAGAAAATGATTAAAATCTTTTTCCTCTTTTCCTTCCCTTCCAAATCCCTCGTATCAAACACATCCTTAAACAAGAACCCGGAACCTTAAACAAGAACCCCTCCATCGGGGGCAACATTACAGGAGTGGTTAAATTATAGATTCAAATATGAGCGGAGAAAATTTAGACTCACGTAATTTGACTTAATCCGAAATTATTCGAAACCCATGCGACCTATACCCCCGATCAAATCAAAACAATCACGTTGGATTTAAAGATTCATATATTGGGATTAATTTACTTTAAAAATTATTTTTGAATTTAAAGTAGTGATCGTCTAATAAAATTATTGTGATGTGAAAATTTTTTTGCGGTAACAAACTGATAACCTCCATTGAACAAAAAGCCGGGTCCAACAACAAAAGTTTGGGTAGTTTTGTGTTTCTAATTAAACATAAATAATACTATTCCGATGTTTAATATAAAACCTATTTAACTAATTTGATTAGATTAAGAAAGTTAGATAAGTTAGTTAATCATAAGAAATGTGACACGTTTTTTCTAAAATATCATAATCATTTTTCTTAATATCTTCTCTTCCTCTTCTATTTGATTATGGTTTAAGAAGTATCCATAGGGGTAATTTAGAGAAAATTGATAAATATGATAAATGGGTCTTATATTTATGACCAAAACTAATTCAATAATTGGGTCATATATTGAGAAACGGAGGAGTAGATGCTATTTGATTCTTATAATTAGGTTCTTGTTCCAAGGCTCTTGAATTGATTTCCAGTTATAGCTGCAGCTTGCGAGATTATTTTGACTTGTTAAAAAGAAAGGGAAAACAATGTTAAGGATTCATTCATATTACTTATTGTTTGAAATTTATTTTACTGTTATATCTGTGTAAAGCTTAGCATAACCATAACCGTACCTTAAAATGAAACGAGAAAATACGAAGCACATTTTGCCATGAGTACCGAGAGTTTTTGAATAGATATATATATTCAATTCCCTTTTGGCACTTAATCTTTATTTGAGTGACTTTCACTATTCTCATATTTCAATATTATTTTTGTAACTCATCGATCACTTGTATTCATGGGTTTTACTATATCCAGTACATATCATTTAAACGAAACACTTGATATGTGACATCACACTTATAAAAAGGGCATTTCATATATGTGTCTATATATATATATATAATACTTGTCTTGGTTATTTCCATAACTGTCTATTGTTCTTCAAGTTATCCCATTTCATAATGCAATTCCCTCTCTAATTAACTAAGTAAGTGCCGCCTGATATCATACGCTGAACTCCCGGGACGTTGTTGGCCAATGAGAGTCGTGGCGATTTTTTTTTTGGGGTGGTTTTTTCGGCCAAAGACGAATCCGTTTTACTAAATCCTGGTGCAGTCATAATCTTAAATCCATATATTCCACAATTTGTCCTTCATGAAGTTTTCCTCCACTATTTTTTAGAAGCTTATTTTATACATTTTCTCAGAGTATTGTTTTCGTACGGCCAGAGAAAACTATTATGTACAAGACAAGTAATTGGTTACAAATAGGTGAATTAATGAATTTCTCGTCTTCTAATTTTATATAAAATTTCAGTTTTTTTTAATCTCATAAAATATATTTTTAATTATTTAATCTTATCATTAATTATTAGCGTGAAATGATAATTTTTTATGACAGTCATTATTATTTTTAAACATTAAATTCAATACGTTAGCATTTTAGAATGCTATGTCAGTATTAAAACTTCGGTGGCACTAATTTTTGTTAATGAACCTAATAATATTAAGATTAGAGGACCAAAAATAAACTTTATAAAATTAAGAGAACAAAACAAAATTAAAGGAGTTGTTACTTAATAATAACAATGATATATTAAATAAGATCAAGTTTTTTTTTAAAAAAAAATACATTGAGGTCAACCAGTTTTATAAAGGAACCAGCTTAATCAAACGCACCATTCAAACATGCTGCATTTAAACTCAACGGGGTGTTTGGATAGAATCAAAATCATGATTTTAAAAGTATTTTTACAGTATACGAATTAAATATATAGATGAGTTTATTTTGATTTGCAGAAAAATACTTTTAAAAAATACTTTTTATGGTTGCCAAACGTAACACCCCCTAATGATCAAGAGCCCCATTATCATTTTTACAGGATAAAAATTCTGGACTTGGATTCTCTCCACTACCCTTCCTATCCTTTTCCCTTCTGCTACTTTCCTTTTCCCTTCACAACCATGGGATTAAAACTATAATGGTCCATATTTAATATTTTATAAAAATAAATATTATTATAAAAATAGATAAATAAATATAAACTGTTAAAATCTAATTTGAACAATTTATAGCTATAGGCTGTTATTATAAAGCAATTTTTTTTTATTTTTTATTACAGATGTGAACTGCTCAGACCATATTTTAATAGTTTAAATTTATTTATTTATTTTTTTAATAACATTATTTTTATAAGATATTAAATCTAAATCATTGGAATTTTGATCCAATAGTTATGAAGAGAAAGGAAGGTAGTGGAGGGAAAGATGATGGGAAGGATAGTGGAGAAAATCAAAATCCAAAAATTCTCAGGCACCAATCCTGGGATATAACGTGGATCTACATTGCAGATTGCCAGTTAAAAATAAAAATACTCGTATAATAATAATGAATATCCCACACCAACTTAACTTTTTTTTTTTTTTTTTAACCAGCACACACCAACTTAACTTTGACCACCGATTAAATATTTCCAATTATTTTGCGGGCCGGGAGGGTTAGCGACTCCAAGATGTTAGCGAAAGACATAGTTGACTATTATAATTTTATTTTGGCCATACACATGGTTGACTATAATTGATTATTGGATATCATTAAAGTCATGTTTAGTGAGGAGTCGAGGATGATTATTATGGCACGGCACATGATTTAGTTTGTCGATCAGGTTTCAAGGATATCAAAGTATATCCAAATATTCTCTAAATATGGCATAAGACGACAGTTATATTGGGATTAGTTGAAAGCTAACGGCATTATAATTATTGGAGTCAAATCATACTCTCAACGTAGCTATATTAAACTAAGCTGTGCTGGCTTCTGCAAAATAGTTAATTACAAAATCTAACAATAGAAATATAGAATATATAGCTTAATTGCTGATCCTGATGACGTGCTTCGTTTTGCTTAGCTCGGTTTAGTTAGCTCGATAATTTATTTATTCATTATATTTTTCTTCTTTTGGGAAGGGATTTTGCTGCAACTGCATGCGATATTGAACTGAATATAGCTTAAAGTTTGGTGATTAGTGATTAATTAATAAAACCAATCTTTAGTTTATTAGTCAGTAAGCAATATCAATCAGACGCTCTAACGTGGGGGACCATGATTTCATCATGCACAACACTTGAAAAGCTAAACCAACTATCTTAATTATTTAATTATGTCCTAATCAATCCATATAATTAAGCATGAAAGGCAAGACATTGTAACATCAACTTTCAAATACGAGTTATTGATTATATTATTGCTTCCGGCATTACCTTGATGATCCGAAAAAACTTGGTGTCTAGTTGTTGGTGTTGCATATGCCTGTAATTTTCAAACAAATGCTATTTAATTGTTAATTGGTTCAAACCAAAGTCCACTGCGTTTTTCTGACTAGAATATATACAGAATCAATCTCATTTTATTCACACTAATATTAATCAGATATCGACTAAGTCAAATGCTTGCAGAACAAGTTGGATCGAGACAGAGAACTTTGCATTAATCAGTTTGTATATGAGTAATCATACAAAAGAAAATTCTGGGAAACTTGCTTAAGTAAATTAAGCAAGCAAACAAGAATACATATCAATTACAGCTTGATCAGTTATGATTTTCCTGAAAGGGATCTTGGGTTTTGCAGCTGCCACATCATACCCAGTCTAAAGAATGAATCAAAATGGCAGAGCCATTTTGAAAAAATTAAAGGGGAACAGACGAAGAGAGAGATTGATAATAACCATCAACTTCTAAATACTTGCTCTTTGATCCATGAAGTTACGTATCCTGTCGAGTGCTACTTCCAGAGTCTGCTCGCTCATATTTGCAAAACAAACCCTGAACCAACCTGGTTCAGAACAATGGCAAGAAGAACCCGGAGATATATTTAGCCTCACTTCATACAAAATGGAATTCCAAAGCTCCAATTCACCTTCTCTTGTTGGTTTCTCCAACAAAGGACTTAGATTCATCCAACAAAACAACCCTGCATTCCCCTTCAAGCACTCTATCCCGGCTCTTCTCAACCCGTCAATGATCATCTCGTATCTCTTCCTCAGTCTCTCTCTGTTGGTCTTTATGTAGCCCTCTGTGAACTCCTTATCCGACAGCATGGTGGCCAACAGGTGCTGTGTCTGCGAAGAAATTAAGGTGAAGCTGGACATCCTACGAGCCGTCGTAACAACCTTGTCGTTGTAGGAATAAATGGTGCCAACTCTAAACCCCGGAAGGCCCAGGTCTTTGGAGAGGCTGTAGACAATGTGAACTCTCTCCGCGTTCTTGTAATCACGATCTTCAAGAATTTCAGCCACGCTTACGAACTCGTCACCCGAGAAGGCCGATCCCGAGTAGATCTCGTCCGACACCAAGTGGATGTTCTTGCGAGTCACGAAGTCGAGAATCTCCTCCAGAACTGACCGTTGGATTGTGGCGCCTAATGGGTTTGATGGGTTCGTGATCAGGACGCCTCTTACTTTGGTGTTCATGGACTGTGCTTGTTGATACGCAGCCTCCAAGGCCTGGGGACTGATCTGGAAATTGTTTGAGCTGTTACAGTGAATTGGGATGATTTTTACCCCTGTTCTCCAACGCAGGTCTCTATCAAATCTGCAAGATTATTTTTCTTATTAGTTCCAATTACAAGCTAATGGTAATTGATGAAAGAAATATATTATATGTGGTGGTTGATTGATTTATACCCTGGATAGTATGGGGTTGGGACGAGTAAAGCGTCTCCTGGGTTGGCGAGAATGAAGGTTAAGAGCTCGTTTGCTGCGGTGGCGCCGGCGGTGAGGACGACTCTATCAGGGTCGAATTTGGCCCTCCCACCTCTTATTTGTTGCATGAAGCTTGCCATTGCGGTTCTGAAAGATTTGAGGCCATGATAGTCTTGAAACAAAGCATTCTCTCTGAACCCGGTTGCTCCTTTTCCCCACGTTGACGCCTCTGCGTGCTGTTCCAAGTACTTTTCCACCAAATCAAATGAAACCTGTATGATATCAGAAAATATGATTAGCTATCATCGCTAAGAAATAATTTGGTTTAAATGACTATATGTATATATTACAAATACAACCAAATACTTACTTGATTCTCTGCCAATCCCATCTGTATCACTCCGGAGGGGTTAGTGAATTCATCATAGCGGTTCTCGTCGTATGCTTTCCACCCAGCAAAATAGGGGGAGTTTTCTCCGTGAGTATCAGAGACTGCGATGTTTGAAAGCTCCACACAAGGCTGCTCGATCTCAAGACCCATTATAACTAGCTAGCTTTCTCGCACTCACCACAGATAGTTGCAGAGAGCAGAAGAAAACTGTGGTGAGTGAGGGAGATAGAGAGAGAGGCTAGCTAGTTGAATGAAAGTTTTGTCAAACTCCTTCTATATATTTATATTGTGAGGTTTTCATGGGTTTGATAAGGGGGAATAAAAATAAAAATGCCCCCTCATCAACTTGCCTACGGCTCTAGCAAAATAAAAAAGAAAAAAATATCAATAGTTGATTCTCTAAAGTAAGCAAGATATCAAAGGTCTTACCTTTTACAGATTTATATCCTCTTATCAATACTGCACAACTGTATCCACACCCAAAATATATATGGTGGTTGATGATTGGGGTTTGGTTTTGTGCAATTATAGTCCCCTCTTTTGCCTCAAGATTTTCTTCTATCTTTCTTTATGGAGTGCAAAGTTAGTTAATCAGAATTAAATATTTAGTTAATCATAACTAAATATCATGTTTGTCTAGGTGGCAACACCTGCAAAAAGCAATTAATCTGAGTCACGTCCTGAGAATATTGTTCTTAAAAGCTATTTTGCAACCACCAACAGATGAGAATGCAGCACTCTCTAGGATTAAATGGATTCTTCCTGTAGAACAAGATGAGCAGAACAAGAAAAGATGATTATAAACTAAGTAGGTAGAAGAATACACAAGAGAGGAAAGAGAGGAGCTAAAAAACCCTAGAGTAGTATATATCCTAAACCTTAGATTGATGCACCCTTTTATAGCCCCAATGATCTTGATGTTACTAGCCTCTTAGTGACAATAAAATATCAGTTTTTGAACGTTGAAACCATTAAATTGTTTAATTGCACAATCTGAAACGTTAAAGGCATATACATAAGTATTCTGTTTAGAATTTCATAATCAAATCATTTAATGTATTACAATTAAAATGGTTAAAAGCAACGTTCGTGATTTCAAGCATTTCAAAGCATTAAACATTAAATTAAATAAATTATTAAACAATTATAAAATATAAAATCTGTTCAGTAATTTGAATGATTCAATGCATTAAAGGTTTTTTCTGTTAATGTGCCACTTTTAAATCTCTAAGGCATTCAAAATCCATTTATGAAATATGACATTAAAACTCTTCAACATTTGATTTTCCTATTCCTAATAATAATAAGAAAATCTATTCATGATTGATGCTCAATTTGTTTTTATCTTCTCACATTCCCAATTAATGTAGGATATATATATATTTTTTATACACCCACACAAGTATCACAATGGTTTCTTATTTGTGGGGGCTATATTTAAAGCAATTTGAAGGTAGTTGAGTTCTTCGTGCCCAGCCTATTTCCATTTCTCAACCTATGACTAATCAAATCCGCCCCTATGAAGACCCAACAAACTCTAATTTCCTGCATATACTGCAATCAAAATCAAATCATGCATTAGGATATCAAAGACTATTTTTTTTTATGACGTGACAAAGATATACCAAACAAACCAACCTCGATTAAGATTCTGATTTTTTGCGAGCAGCTTGAGAAAAAGATGCATGGGAGCTCGTCAAACATGTTCTCTGGCCCTTAATATTCAGTTCCACTTCTCTACAAACCATCCACATACCAAACTATAAAGCAATGTTTTGTCATTTTAGTTCTCATATATTTTAAATTAAAACATCACCTTTTCTCTCTAAAGACACATACGGTGCATATATATTGATTCGCAGATCATCTGCTTCACAAATTAAAAACCTTTCACTTAAATATATGCATTAATACCAAGTAAGAGAGACGTTACGGCTTAATTATTAGTTTAATTTCAAGTTTTAATTTTGTCTCTTTCTATGGAAAAATGTTTTTTATCAATAAAACAATTTGCACTATAATACAAATTGCACTATAAATTAGTTCTTACACTTAAAATCGAAGGTAGTACTAATGACATCAAAAGACTATTCAGCTTCTGGTGTCAACTGCAATAATGCATGGGGAAGGAAAAGAAAAGAGAAAAAGAAGAAAGAAAAATTTGCATGCATGCTTCACCCTGAAAGTTATTGGATATATACTGCTTTGAGTCAGCTTTGTTACGTACGTAGTCATGACTGGCAATAAATTTCTCATGTATGGTAATTTCAAAGAGAACGATAGAACTCGTGATACCCAAAAGAAAAACTGTCCAAGGAAGGGAAAAACCTCTAAATCCACACACACGCAGGGCTCTACACCGCAATAAAGTATACATAGAAAATATGATGTTAATAAGTAATTATACGTTGGTGTGAACCACAGAACCAAGTGCCAGCATAAGTCTTTGGTTGGATTCTTTAACTAGTTAACGGAATTGCAAAATGACCACCAAAATGAAGAAATAAACGAGACATTTAAACAAATTAAAATCCAACTGTATATGCGTCTCCTATATTCTTGTTTATTGTAATGCTATTTTGTGTTTTTGTGTGTGAGTGAAATGAGTTAGCTAATCCATGATTATTGATGAGTTTAATTAATGACCTGACATGCACTGCTTTTTATGTAAGATAAATACAATCGATCTCACCACACACGTAGTGTCACCCTCGGATCTGCTTATTGTATCACCCTGTTATCTGGTTTGCGTGTATATATGCATGTACACCAACGTTTAAGAGTTAGGAATGTAAGATACTTGTCAAGATTGTGTTGTGTGTGGGTTTGGACTGCAAAACAAGCACGGAATAATTAAACATATATGTTGGATAGGTAAAAGAAAGATATATAATGATAAGATGAGCAGTGATGAGAAGAAGATGCCCCGTCGATGGGAATAGAGAAGTAGGACTTGGGAGATCATGTGCTGGGGAGGATCGGCTCTAGATTTGCAGTTAATATGCTGAATCTTATTTCACAGTTCAGAACGTGAACGCAGACATCATATGACGACTGCAAGACGACTATGGCCTCTCGGATACAGACAAGTATCAAGCAAAGGTCTTACCATATCTTCCGATTATCATCATCCACATGAAATATATAAAATTTATATATTTATAGGTCATGATATAATAGTATGGCTAAGCATAACTTACTTTGTTTTTTTTTAAATTACATACAAAGTATGAGAAAATTTGCCTAATTCCTTTGTATGTATGTATGTGTACTCTGTTGGTTCTTATTACAAGGCACATTCCAGAGGAGATGGATGATCCTTATTATAAGTCTTTTTTTTTTTTTTTTTCATTTTCCGTATTTAAAGTAATCAACAATGGAGAGAATATATAATACAAATCTTAAAATTTTTATTTAAATATAGGTAAAATTAGAAATTTATTCTAGACCAAGCTAATTACTTAGTTAACCTTTTCTTACTTTTGATGAGGTAGCTAAAGATGTCTTATAATATGGGTACAAAGGAATATACTCCTCCGATCCTTAATATACCCAATTCCCATTGAGTTGGTTTTTGGTCCTAAATATAAGACCCATTTCTTATATTTATCAATTTTTTCTAAATTACCCCTATAGATACTCCCTCAACCATAATCAAATAGAAGAAGGAGAGGGTATTAAAAAAAGATGATTGTGGTATTTTAGGAAAAATATGTGTCACTTTTCTTATAATTAACTAACTTACCTCCTAACTTCCTTAATCTAATCAAATTAGTTAAATGGGTCTTATATTAAGGACCGATGATGAGATATATTTTATCGACAGATAAACATAATTGGCTGGAAGGCTTATATATATATATATATATATGCCATTCAGTCGTAAATACAAAAACTAATTTGTAATGTAAATTATGTTATAAATAAATTAGCTTTTATATTTAGAATTAAGGTAGTATATATGGCACTCGAGATCATCAAAGCCTCTCTAGAATAGGCGAACAGCTTGTGTTTCCATCAAAATTAACCACTCCATATGCAGTAAATTAGCTAAAGGGCACGTACAAACACGCATCCGTATACATATATAGGAGTATATATATGGGACTTGATGCTCATTGCTTAGAAAAGTACTGCAACTGGATTTCAGCTGAAAGCCAGCGCATGTAATTGATGGAATCACACTCAAGAAATTAATGAGAGTGCTTTGTTTTAGTACTTTTTCCAACATCAAACATTGTTTTTAAAAATTGTACTAGTATTAATTATCAATAAAGTCTAGGGAATATTCAACATTTCAACTGGTACGCGAGATAGGGGGGTATATAACTAATAATTGAACCCAACGTATTCTTATTAATTGATAACAGCTAAGTGTGTGCAACCCTTGGGTAAGGAACAAGAACCAAGATCATATGTCACTTGACGTTTCCTTGAAAACTAATCGAAAGAAATTATATAAAAACATTCTCTATATTATTGCATGCCGTGTGATCACTGTGCTTATGGCCTCATTAGAGTCGTGATTAAATTAATTAAATTATAGCAGGACACAGATACCTGAAATTAAACAGCAGTATGATTGAAATAGATACTCCTCTGGTCCTTAATATAAGATCCATTTAACTAATTTGATTAGATTAAGGAAGTTAGATAAGTTAGTTAATTATAAGAAATGTGACACGTTTTTCCTAAAACACCATAATCATCTTTCTTAATACTCTATCTCCCTCTTCTATTTGATTATAGTTGAGGGAGTATCTATAGGGATAATTTAGAGAAAATTAATAAATATGATAAATGGGTCTTATATTTAGAACCAAAACCATCTTAATAATTGAATTCTATATTAAGGATTGGAGGAGCAATAATTAGGTAGCTTAATTCAAATCATTTGATTAAGGTTAACCATCCTTTTAATATATGGCTTACAGCTGAGAAAAGTTTAATCGTAAATTCTACGTGCTAATTAATTCCACGGTCGGGGGAAATGTGTATGCCTACTACGAAACCTTTTAATTAATTACTGCCAATATATATAAACTAATTTGTTAAGATCATTTTGGATGTACGAACGTGCTATATACATTTGTGGGATGGAATTTGCTATGTGTATGTATGGCTTGTAATGTATCCCAGTAAGAGGGCATGAATCTTCAGAGAAGATATAGAACCAATGATTGCACGCCACGTGGGAAAATTTGTCCTAATCATGCTAGGATTATGTGCAAGGAGAGATCTAAGCATATAGATTATGGAATATTGAGTAGGTCGAATCAATGATTAACAATTTATTATTAATTGTTTATTCATATCCATGCTTATTCCCAGGCTACCGTGTTCGTACACACGTTTTTATGTAAACTCGACACCCTTGAAGCAGTCCAAGTAGGGCATCCCAATCTGCACAGACACGCCAACCAATTGTCTCTGACAATTCTATATGTAAGCAAACTTATGTATAAATTTCGCAGTGTGACAAATTTTTCCGTCGTCGCTAATTTTTCTTTATGTTTTGCGGTAGCTCTAGTTGTAAAGCAATCAATGAGACCTACCTTCTTCCACATGCTGCATTTGACTCCAAATCATAAGTATTTTAAAACTCTTTTTTCCTTTTGCCTGCACTAAAATTGTGGAGATGGCTTTTTTTTTTCCCAGCTCAACTTGCCTTGTTGATTTAGATCCCTTTTCTGCGTGACCTGTCTCCTTATTTTCTATGTTATAATGCTCCAAAGATCGCCTTTTTGTGTGACAATTTTCTATACCTTAGAACCAATCCTTTTCCATCAATTATGCATACAACAATTCATGATACTGTGAGTTCCTCTACGGATCTTGTGACAATGTACTATGGATCTTCTCTACTCCTCTACTTTTATTTATAAGACAGAGATATGAGATATTTTTTAATCCTATTTATAGGACATCAATAAGAGTCTTTTTGTATGGATATACAATTTTATCTTTTATTTATTATGGTGTTAATTTTATTTACATGAAGTAATAATATATATTAAATAGGAATAAAATTAAAAATTGTTGAATTTTAAATAGAGTTAATAAAGTTTAAGGTTTTTTTTTGCCTATATAGAACATGTCCGAAGCAACTTTTAAATAGGACCATATGAGTATTTGCTAATTGAAAATCGGGTCTTAAAATTCCTATGATGTGAACCAGGTTGCTCCACATAGGCGCTAATAATTCATAAACCAGTATTATGATGATGAGGTCGATCAGTGATATCTATAAGCTGGTATTTGCCTTGCATTCCAAATACTTTCTGAGTTCTTTTTCGTTTTTTTTTTTTTCCGTGCTCTTCCCTCCATTTTTTAATAATACAAGTCCAGCTCAAGGCCAACGGGGCCAATCTGATAACTTACATGCTCAACTATATGCCTTTAATTTGCAGTCACGTTGAAAATATAATCACTCACCGTCATCTCCTTATTGTCTTGTAAATGATGCTCCTTAAACTGTAGTCCCCACTTGCGCAATTGGAAGTACAACTTATATATGTGTGTGCGCGCATATATAAAAACAGGTAAACTATGCAGGAAAGGAAATTGTCCAAAGCATCATCAGGCTTCTTACACAAATCAGCAAGGATATTAATTCCTCCCCCAGTAAAAAAGTCATCAAAAGATTATGACATTCGCATTCAAGATGTGGCATTGTGAGACGACGGCAAGTCAATTAGCATAATACTACCTTCGTTCCTAATTATAAAATTTTATTTGTAATTTACAAAAGATGTCTTATAATTAGAACTTAATATAGTATTAATTTCCTTCAGCATTGGTTGAAGTAGACCCTTTTTATAAACTTTGCTCTCTATATTCAAGTGTTATTTACTTTATATATACAAGCGTCACGGTTAAATAAAACTCTCAAACTCTTGTTCACGATTAATGGAATACTGTTTTTTTTTAACCTCGATGAAGCACTGCTTATTTGTCAGTGTTTGATATATAATCGATGCCACGAATAAAATTTTTTCGCTGTGATTGTTTAATTATTATTTAAAAAATTCTTCTTATTTTATGTGCCAATATTTTAGTTAGTTTTTTAAAAATATTCTTAGTGATTATGTGCCAAATAAAATTTAGTTTTTTGTGATCTGGAGTCCGACATTATTGTTACTCCTCCTATCCGACTACGAATATTTTGCACAAGTTGATTAAATGGTGGCCTAAAATTCAAGGTGCCATAGAAGTCAATATGACAGAGTTATAACTGAGCTCGTGGAGTATAATACTTTCTTATTCAATTTCGAGTTCCTAGACAATTTTTTTTAATTTTTATTATTAATGTTATTGTAAAAGTGTGAAACTCTGATCTGCCAAATAAAAAAAAAGAAAAAGAGCAGAGCTATCCTATTGGCGTATGCTTTTTGGGAATGCTGTGTTAAAATGATATGAGCCCAATAATGCTTGATATAGTGTATGTAAATATTTTTGGTCAAACATTTGAGTAATGTTTTCTATGACCCAAGACTGAACGGACCTGGGCAATACACTTGGGCCCTTTCTACTCCAAGAAATACACTCTACATGCATGTGCTCCTTCCCCCGGTTTTCTGAAAAAGATGAATGATGTGCCCCTTCTTAAAATGGCCTGGGAGGCTAAGAGAAGAAAGCAGTAGCTTTGTGGTATGATGATTTATGCCGCAAATAATGAGAGAAGAACGTCTGGGTGTCAGGTATCTTGTGGGGAGGGAGCATCCCCTCTACATGGAAGGGCAAGTCTGGACAAAAATACTGATTGAGAATGATTTTTGAGAAAGATAAGTTGAAATAAGTACAAAGGTTTATCCATAATGCATATGGCAGCATGAGGGACGGTTTATTATCAATACCACCTGATAAAAGTGGAAGAAGTGGGAGTTATAACATGAAGAGCAAGCCAGAGGCAATGGAGCAGATAGTGAATATTTTGAAAGTTTGATTTTTGGAAGTAGTGGTGTTACCAAGTAAAGCTTCTTTTTTTCCTCCTTTTTTTCTTGCATAATGATTACCACATTAGTGGTCAATCTTGTTAGAAGGATAAAGGTGCATTGATCCAGTTTTTTTTTTTTTTTAAGATGCACTTATAAATAAGTGTTGGATGCATCTTTATTCTTGTTAGAATGAGGTGGTCAATCCTAAAGATACATTTTTTTTTAAGGATAAAGCCTTTCTTCTTCTTCTTCTTTTACACCCTTGTTTGGTGCTAGAATTCTAATCTGTAGGGTCTACGAGTCATCTTGATTCATCCCCTTGTGAGGAATTGCCGCCTCTCAGGCCCCCGACTGATTCTACCATAAAAGCCAACGATAGATAATAACTCCCCCCGAACACTGCTTACAACTTTCATCGTATCGTGACAATAATTACCACATTAATAGTCAATCTTGTTGGCAGGATAGAGATATGTTGATCCAACATTTTAAATTTGTTTTAAGACATGCTTGTAATATAAGGTGTTGGGATATTCAAACCAATTAGATTTAGTATTTTACTAATAGACTCAATTAAAATATATTTTTTTTTAAAACAATGCATGTGACAAAAATAACTTAGCCAATATTTTTTTTTTGGTAGACAGGACTTAGCTAGTATTTATTCATATATTGTCATATATGTTGAAGTACGTCTTCTAATATTTATTCATACTAGTGTGATGCATGCTAAACTAACGCAGGCTCATGCATATGCCTAATTTAAATATCATCTACTATTTTTTATATTTATTGTAAGAGTTAAATAATTAATCTGTGAATATTAAAATAATTTAAACTAGTAATTTATAATAAATGAATGTTATATTTTATAAAATATCTTTATTAATCATGTGTATTAAAAATAAAATAGATTGTGTTCTGTTACGAAAAAAAGATTGTGTTTTTATATTTATAATCAAATTGAATATTTAATCATATCTTATATATCAGAAGTAGTCTTATTTATTACTCCCTTCGTTCTTTATTATAAGAGACATTTGATGCTTATAGCATGTTCCTATATATAAGAGACACTTACAAGTTGTTTCTACTTTTTTGTGTTGATTTCATATTTTACCCATATTTATTGTCTCCAACTCACACTCTCTCTCCTTTCCACTTCTCTTTCTTTTAATAATTTAATTGTTCTCTCTCATACTCTATATCCTTATTAATGAAGGCATTTTTAGAAAAAAAAATAATACTTTTTACACATTGATTGTTCTTAACTAATTTTAATTATTGTTTGATCAACGTAATTCGGTTATTCGTCTCTTATAATAAGAAACGGGGGGAGTAAAAATCACCAAAATCATGAAATATACAGGATTGGTTGTCCCACTAAACCAACACAGGCTTTTACAGTTAGCCACAATCATTAATAAATGCCAAGTTTGGAAAGGTTTATTCATGTTGGATGGAATATAACAAGTGTCCAAACGGACTCATTAAACATGCATGGCCCAGCATGCTTGGAACATAACAAATGCACAAATGGACTCATTAAACTCTATAAGGCATGTAGTCTTGTTTTCTTTCTGTGGGCGCGTCATAGCCCTGTTTTGCATTCACACACACACATATTATATAAAAATAATATCAAAAAAGGGTTTGTTTGCCAACCGAAAACAAAAAAGAAAAAATTATGTCATCTACTGATTTCACCATTCACACTTTTTTTTTAAAATAATGAATAATGATAGGGACAAAAAAGCAACCTAGCCAGAAGCAAATTTACTCGAGTCTTGTTTGTCGATAGTTCATGCACGCAAAAACGAAAACGGTAAAACCCCCCCAACTAAAAACCCTAATTTTGTTGCCGCCTATTTTTAATTTAGTTTAGTGAAAGAGTCGCCGATATAACAACAATCGGAGCTGAAGCGGCGGCATCAGTAAAATGAGTCACTACACTCGCTTCGAAGACACGGACGAGATCATTGAGGATGCTGCTGTGAGCTCCAACCACGACGACTCCATTTGCGAGCTCGATGGTTCCGTTGACAAAGCCGTTGAAGGCTCAGCGGGCGAGCCTTCCATGGTCCTCGTCGGTTCAGAATCAGATGATAAAACAAGTGCCGATTATTACTTTGATTCCTACTCTCACTTTGGTAATTTCTTATTCCAAAATTTTCCTTTACTATGTGTCTTGCGTTCTGACAATGTAACTAGTAAAAGCCGGCGAGTAACGGTGATCTGGTCGTAGTAGCCGTATATTATGTTCTTCAGATATCTCTGAATATAAATATTAGCCTTCGTTTTAATTTTCTTGTTAATTTTACGCCGGTTATTGAAGGACTGAAAAACAAGCAAACTGCTCGTACTTAAATTTTGTTCATGAAATTTCAACCTGTTTTGGCTACCTCACTTGTACATATTTTTTCACAATTTTTTTTGTTTTTGTTTTCAGGAATTCACGAAGTAAGTCTATCAACTTGGATGCACGTTGGCATCACCTTTTGTTGTTCAATCCATTGTTTGTTTTCTTTTCTATTTTTGGAGTTTATAATAGTGCTTCCCCCCCCCCCCCCAAAAAAAAGTCTTTTATTATATTTTAAAACTACCAACGGTGATTTTCTGAAATCTGATGGATTAAATTTTTTCGAAGTCAGTTGCTCTGGCGAGGTATTGTCCTGTCAGCTTCATAGAGGAACTGCAGATCAATAATCTTCCCAGTAACTGATTTGATCATTTTATTACCGGTGAAGTTGCATTGTGCAGTGTTTCATAAATAATTGTATCTGATGCAAGTGCAAGCCTATGAAAATGTAATTCCATGTCTATAAAAGCTCTGCTCTAATTTACATTTATTGTTATCCTTTTGTTTCCCTTCCAGGTTTATTTCATTCTCCGTCTTATTTTTCACGTGTGTTCATTGTATGATACATGAGGATTTATTTTAAGCTAAAATCGTAAGCACAAACCTACATATAATAGTATTAACAAACCTGTCTTTTGATACAAATAGCAAAATTTATTGTTCAAAACTCAATTTTGTCAATTCTGCATTGGTCATCTATCACCCTGTATTTTTTTTCCCCGCATTATAGGAGTAAATTGAAGGTCTTATTTTGCATTTAAATATTGCATTGTGCTTGTTGTTGCTTATTTTTCTCTTGGCAAATGATTTTCCCATGTTCTTCACTTGGCTGGTTGCTTAACTGTGCCACTGTTGATTTCCCAAAACTTCAGTAGCCTAGCATTGCGTTTACCGTACCTCTATTCTGTAACCCTCTTTGCATGCAGGAAATGTTGAAGGATACTGTGAGAACTAAGACATACCAGAATGTGATTTATCAGAATAAATTTTTATTCAAGAATAAAGTAGTTCTTGATGTGGGTGCTGGGACGGGAATTTTATCTCTCTTCTGTGCCAAAGCTGGGGCAGAACATGTCTATGCAGTATGTGTCTATGTTGCTCGCTTCCTTTTAGTGTTCTAAATTGCAAAACTTTTAGTGGATTATATAAATATATATAATATCATCCTGCTATATACTACCTCTGATTCTAATTATAAGATCTCGTTTATAGTCTACAAACAAAATCTTATAATTAGGATCGGAGGTAGTATCTAATTAGTGTTTATATTGTTGGCTACTTAGGTTGAATGCTCTGATATGGCTGACATGGCAATGGAGATAGTTGAAACTAATGGGTACTCTAATGGTGATGCCATTTTATCTTGTATTCATTTATCTTCTTCTGGCAGGTAAATTAATTCCAAATGCCACTGACTGTAATTATGTTTTTCTTTTACAGTTATAACAGTTTTGAAGGGAAAGATTGAAGAAATTGAACTTCCTGTCGCTAAAGTTGACATAATCATTTCAGAATGGATGGGGTACTTCTTGTTGTTTGAGAACATGCTTAATACCGTCCTCTATGCCCGCGACAAGTGGCTAGTAAGTCATACATTCTTTTCACTTGTTGGCGTTTATTTGATCGTTTCTTGCATAGACAAGAATGAAGTCTTGGTTCATGCTGCTAATAGTTATATCCTTTGTGGTGAGGTTTTAAAATATTAATCTGATGCTACTCAACTCAAGCATTGTGAAATATATATATATATATATATATGTTGAGATGGATGTGTGGTCATACAAGAAAAGATAGGATTCGAAATGAAAAGATCAGGACAAGAGTCGGTGTGGCACCTATTCAAGAGAAAATGGTTGAAAATCGCTTAAGATGGTTTGGACATGTGCAGAGAAGGCCTTTGGAGGCCCCGGTGAAGAGGGTGGATCAAACAAGATGGAGTCCCATAAAAAGAGGCAGGGGAAGACCGAGAAGAACGCTGAATGAGGTCATTGAACGAGACCTCCTAATCAACAACATATCTAAGGATTGGGTTGTTGGTAGAGCACGATGGCGTCGTGTGATTCATGTAGCCGACCCCACCTAGTGGGATAAGGCTTGTTGTTTGTGTGTGTGTGTGTAGCTCTGAAATGTAGCTTTCAAACTGAAATGATGCAATTTTCTGTCCTTGCCTAGTTCCTGTCTTGTATCAGTTTTTTAATTTGTTCATTAGGCACAATCCGTTATATTGTTTGAAATGAAAAGTTTTCATACTTAGCTTGCTGCTTGGCATATCTGACATGCTCCTTTAATAACTCAAGTTTTAAATAAGAACATTTGGTGGCCACCATTGATCCTTTCAGAAATGTTATACAGAGTAAGTTGTGCGGGCTTTAGGGGTCAATGGGATATGTCGATTTGCCACTTGCGGTGCCATATTGATATTCATTTATTTCCTTTTGTTGCAATACAGATAATGTTTCAATGACATTTGAAAATTAGGTGAGAGTGAGAGAGAGAGAGAGTATGGACTTCAATTACTTGATGAGGGTACTAATAGTATGGATTGTTTTAATAATCTGTTTCTTATTTTGGCCTAGGTGGATGATGGAGTTGTACTACCAGATAAAGCGTCTCTATATCTTACAGCAATTGAAGATGCAGACTACAAAGAAGATAAAATTGAGTGTGAGTTGTTTACCATTGATTTTTTAGTTATGTGATGACTCGGAGGATTGAACCTCTCACCATTGGATTCGTCCAAGCAGCTAGTTACTTGCCTCATGTTCTATTGAAGTGTATGATTTTTTTTTTAATTAATATATTCATATTTTCTAAAAGTATATTTGCAACGAAATATACGATGTTTTCCCACATGTGGGACCAATATCTTGGTGTCCGTTGCTGTTTTTGCTTACGCTTTAAAACAATCTCAAGTTTTAGATGTGAAAATTTTCTATGCAGTTATATCCACTATTGAACTTGTATCCTTTTAAATTATATTGCATTTTCTCTTTGTATGGCAGTTTGGAATAACGTATATGGATTTGACATGAACTGCATTAAGAAGCAGGCAATTATGGAGCCTCTTGTTGACACAGTTGACAAAAATCAGATTGTTACAAATTGCCAGCTACTCAAGGTGGGCGATAATAGATTATTTGATCATTCTTCAATTTAATGTCCCCATGCATGCTTAAAGTTAGCATGTGTTATATCCTGAGTTGGTCCAAGAACTTTTTTTTGAGTGATGCGAAGTCACAAACTGATTTGCTCATCTCTGTTCAGACAATGGATATCTCTAAAATGGTACCCGGAGATGCGTCATTCACGGCGCCTTTTAAGCTTGTAGCTGAACGTGATGATTATATTCATGCGCTTGTAGCATATTTTGACGTATCATTTACCAGGTGTCATAAATTGATGGGCTTCTCTACAGGTTTGTTTCTTCCTCTGCTTAGTTCGCTTGATTTATTTTTTCATTTTTGTTCTTTTGGTTTGTGGGGACTTGAATGGGGAGAACCGTGTTGCGCCGTGTGCTCTGTTCATCCGCGTAGATATCCTTTTTAATTATTCATTGAATCCAAGTTCGTAACAAAGGTTTAGCTTCTACAGGAAGATAACAACGGGAGTAAGAAGAAAAGTGAATAAAAGAAGTTATTCGCGGATTTCCAAAGCTGCTATGAACTAGACTACGTAAAATTATTTTCTTTTGAATCATATCTTGTAAGAAAATTTCCTGAAAATTTGTGTAGGATAGGCATTTTTTCATGTTTTGAGAATTAGCGAGCACATAACATTTAATTTTGATGACTGCTATTAGATTTAATTTCAAGTTTAAGGATATAGGCCAAACATGTTGCTTTAGCTTTAACACGTGCATTTTATACAGGGCCAAGATCCCGTGCGACTCATTGGAAGCAAACAGTGCTTTACCTAGAAGACGTTTTGACCATTTGTGAGGGAGAGGCCATTGTGGGAAACATGACCGTGGCACAAAATAAGAAAAATCCTCGAGATGTTGACATAATGCTCAAGTTTTCATTAAATGGTCGACGATGCGTGGTTTCAAGAGTTCAGTATTACAAGATGCGCTGAGCCTGTTTTTTAAGTTATTGACATTCTTCCAAATGCAATTCTAATACAAGGGATTTTAGCGGGCTGGCGAAGTATTGAAAACAATTGCTTCCCGTCATATTACCATTTTATAGCGGATGCTGTTATTAGTCCTGTGACTTGTTTGCAATTTTGCTGGATTTTTTTCTTAGTTTTGGGTGTATGATAAAATTCTTTTGAATTTCTAAGCATTTTTTATTATTCCATTCTTTCCCCGCAATTCTTAGAGAGAGGTTTACCCGGAAACAATACAAGTAACCCATCTCTGCAATCGCCTGGAATTGCAAGATGTACTAGTAACTTCAAGTGGCGTTTCATGGTTTGACTTTTACGTTATGAACCCCAACCAGGCGATAATGATCTTCTTTTCCGGCTTCTGGTAAGGTATGTGTGCCATAACCCCATATATATATATATATATATATATATATTCAAAGGGGAGGATGTGTAGGGTGCATCCTCCTCGCTGTAAGCACAGCATGGAGGAAATTCTTGGGGAAATTGTTTCTTTTCCAAAAATGAAAGAGGCATCCAATGTATGTATCGCAAATGTTTATACTCAATTTGGGAGAGGTGAAGTGGAAGACATACCACCATCTTAATCGACAACTTTGCCACACACAAAACTACATGAAGGTGGCAAATCCCTAGTATGATGGGCGAGTCTCGTAGAATTAAGACCGTTCTCTATAATTCTTCTTCCCGCCAATCTTTGGCACAGGGACCTTCAATCAAGGAACGATTCAGGTACTTGGGCAATCAAGAGATGCAGTGAAATTGTGATGCTCTAAAGTTCTGACTTTCCCGTCTTCTGGCCCTTCTTTGATGTGCTTGCCTTCTTTCCCCTCCACCATTGACGCAAATGATTGGAGACTCTGTTTGCATGTCTCTTCAGTGTCGTAGCACCGTCAGAAATTCCTTTCCTTAGCTTCTGTTTCCAGTCACTCCCGCTTCCTTTTTCTCTTAAAACTTTTCCCTGTAGGATGAGCATTTTCGTCATTGATCAATTATTCTAAAAGGATTTGAATCTACGGGGGAATATATGAGATTCTGTTGATACCAATTTTGAAGGGAAGCCAGCCTCGTCATCCTCATCCTCATCTTCATCATCACCATCTTCACCAAAATTATTCATGTTCATTAAATCCTCCCTTGAGTACATTTTCATGCCAGGGGCTCCAGGCATTCCCTGAAGCAGAATGAAATACAGTATGAACACAGGTGTTACTAGTAAAAGACTGCAGCAAATATTGTAACGATGAATCCCCACCTAGGCTTGGAATAAGGTGGTACGAAGTTTAACGTCGCTCCTAGGTTTTGATCATGTTTATTTCACATTGCACTCAATTTTTTGTTTCTCGCAAGATAAAAATAGAAGGGAAAGAAACCAACTACCTCCATAGATTTCAATAGCCTGTCCATTTCAGCCTCTTTAGATGACTTTGGAACAAAAGGTTCCCCAGGAGCCCTGCCCTGCAATACAAAAAAGATCTGCTGGTGAGTACTCAAGCATGCAAGTACTCAAACAGCAATGTTGAGCGCATACTAAGTTTGGATGTCATCATTGCATCGAGACTTTGCTCAATTACATCAGGCTAGATCCAGTGGGTGTTTGGGACTAATGTATAAATATAGGAACATGACTACATGAGCAATTGTAAGAAAAGGAAAAGAGCATGGAAAATATCCGCAGAAAGCCAACTTGGCAAATTATCACTTTCACCAGAACTAACACTTCTGCAATGTTTGGCTTGGGGAAAGTGTTTTCTATAAACACTTACCGACACCAAACATTGCATTAGTGTGTGGTTTCTCATTGAAACCACTAAAACCATGTTTTGGTAGGAAGTAACCCAGAGCATGCTTCCACCAAAATTGGGTGCTCTATTAACATAGCAGGACATTGTTTTATTCGTTCAATAATCAAGGTTTTAGGGATAGATGGGTGTGCTTGCAATGTCAATGAAGATTTGAATGACGATGAAGAAAGCAATGTATTAAACTGGCAAAATCCTCAAATATTGGAAGTAATTACGATGACTTGTCCTTTACTGTATAAAGGAGTACTCAGAACACCGCCATATATTCTCACTGAACAAATACTATTACTAATTATAAAAAGCAAAGGCCAGCACCATTGTTGGTTACCATAAAGCAGCAGTCGGACTCAATAATATTTAAAATTAAGATACTCAAATTGATTTAATTTAGATCATGGCCAAAGGGGATTTACAACCGATGAAAGATATCCACTAATATCAACTAAAAAATCTCAAAAATAAAAAAGTTAGAGTTATATGATGGTTATAAACATATACTAGAAGTGTCAGCTTCGGAATGAAGCTACCTTGGGTACAGGGGGTGGTTTGGTGCTGCATGCCTTAGTAAGGTCTTTACAGAAGTATTTGAGCAATGAGTCGATATCAGGCTTGGCTTTGTACAGATATTCAGCAACATCTGTATCATAATATCCTATCACCTGCAAATTCCAAGTCAGCAAGTCCTCATTATGAAATATCCCTGAACAATGAATCATTGACCACCTCAAGGTTGTTAAATTACATATGTATGTTAGGTAGAAACAGCAAAATCCAGATCGTTACAATTGAATAAAAGCAACAAGTATAAGCTGGGAACTGTGCCATACCCCCTGACAAGCCTGCTCAATTGTCTTGCATTCTGAATTACATTGTCCTTCAGAGTCTTGTTCCACCAGCTGTTAAGAAAAAGGGTCGGATAAAACAATTCACATATATTAATGCTAAGTCAATGCAACAAGCTCTTATGCAGACCAACTGTTACTCCATCCGAACACCGACAGAAACTATACAAATCCATATAAGATAGACCGGGGGGGGGGGAAGAAACATGGAAACCAGAACTTATAATATAATTCTGCAAAACATTTACAAAACTGAGAAGTTCATCAATCTTCTTACCTCCAATCTATCTTCTTTTTCTACAATATCTATCTGCAATATCCAATCAGCTTCCGCCTTCTTGAGATTGCAGACATTCTCTGCTATCTCAATGATCTGGAACTCCGAGATCTAGCACCCGAAATCAACCAATTATTTCGCAGAAAACTACTAAGCCCACCTTTCTGGTCCTAAAAAGGACATAACTAAACGATTTAAGAGGAAATCCACAAGAATATACAAGCACACCTTTTTCGGAGCGATCTCTGCTTGCTTTTTCTGGACCTGATGATACAACTGCTTAGCGAGCTTTTCACAGACTTGGCATTTGATATACGGGATGTCTTCCCTTCGAGCTTTTCCTACTGGTTTCTTGGAGCAGGATGCCAGCGGCACCCACGCTGAAATAAAGAGTGATGCAACCACGACATAAAGTAATGTCTTCTTCATCTTCTTCTGGAATCGTTTGAACCCGACTAGCAGTTAGCCCAGAAAACTCCTCGGAGATCATTCAATTTAAGAGATGAAACTTTCATAGAATTAATTAATATTAATTTTGTATGCGCTCACATTTCCAGCAATGGGCAACCTGATTGGTTGAGAAGAGCCTAAAACGATGGGGCCCCCTCTTTCAACCAATAAGGCGCGAGAAAACACGTAGCGCCGCTTTAATATTAGATTTGCAATTTCCCTTAAAAAATATGAAGCAAGCGGCGCATCGTCGTTTATACTCAATACGCAATATTCCAGGTTGTCGTTTTTCAAACAGAAAGCGATGCGATTAAAACCTCTGTTAAACCCTAAATGCCGCTTCATCAGTTATAGCAGGAACTAGGGCTGGGCTGCCCCTCGAGCTTGACCGGAATCGCTTTTCATTGGTTATCGGCATGGCTTCGGATTGGATAGAGTCCACTGAATTCATAAAGTTATCTCATTCTTTCCCTCTGGTGGGTGAAAACTACGATCTTAAGCTGAAACAATCACTCCTAGACATTCTAGCTGAAATTCGCGGAGAAAGGCCGAATTTTTCTCTTTATGTTGATATATTTTATCAGTTACTGCAATCTAAGGTTGACGCACCCTTTGAGGCGATCTGGGTCTATGCTGCGCTTACCTTTCGTAACCGTGATTCTGCTGGAGGTGACGTCTTGGATCAAATATCAGCTGCAAAAGATTTGTTTCAGCTGTTATCTGCATGTTCGGCTTCGTCTGGTGCTTCAAAATGCATCGCACTGTTGGTTCCTGTTGTATTTGAGGTATACAGGGTGATCCTGAAATTATTTGCGGGGGATTTAAGTGTTAAGAGAGATAAAAAAGCAATGAGGGAGGCCAAGTCTTTATTGGATAATGTTCTTGGGTATATAAGTGTTTGCTGTAGTAAGAACTCCGACGAGGAACGTGATTTACTTTCCCCTAACTTGATTATCCCTTTTTCGGATTTGGTTTGTGTTTGGCCAAGTGCAAATGAGGACTGGGAATCTTTCTTGCCCCTTCTGAGCAGTGATGTTTGTCGTTGGATTTGTACGAGAGTTTTAGACGTTGCCAGCTTGGCTGCCGCTGTTATTATTCAAGCGTTTTTGTTGAAAATGTGCTTCAGCTTCCACTTGGCAAAGCCAACGGATGAATTAGAAAAGAATTTCAAAAGTTGGGCCGTTAGCACAATATCTAGGTTTCAGAATGCATATTTTTATGGTAAGGAAAGTTTTCTCTTTTTGGGTACTTTAAATTTAAATTTCCCTTCTCTTTTGATTATCTGCGACAATAGTATGACCGGAAGGCGGATCTGTATCCAACTGAAAAGGCATATAGTGGCAAACTGGACGAGCCTACCGTTGCAAAAAATGTTGAGTCTTCAGCTTGTCACACTAAATGCATGACTTCTTTTGTAGGCCTGTTCATTTGTATCTTGGTATAATTTTAGACCTAAAGTAGGGTGCTTTCTTCTTCTTCTTCTTCTTCTTCTTCTTTTTACTTATTCACTATTGAATTAGGTTGGCCTGCTAACGTGTGAATTTTCATGAAATGAACTTCATTTAATTTCATTTATCTCCAGCCGTGATACCGTTTTCTTGTTCCTTCTGTGATGTGGATTTATCTTGTGTCAACTAGAAATCCTCATGAGGACAACCCTGGGGACGCCTTTGCCTATGAGCTCAATATTGGTTAGTATGCCTGCCTATAATTTTTTTTTTTTTAAGGCAAATAACCGTCCTTGTAATGAAATTTTGTGCCATTCTGTGTGCATATCAGTATACTTTCCCTTCTTAAAGTTAAGAATTTTGGTCACACTACGTGTTAATCCCAGAATTATTCGAGCTACAGAGTACAGACCAAAGCAATATTGTACTTTAACCTACTGTTCAACCGGTTAACTAAATATTTTCTTTGAAAGTAGACCTGGGCTGCTTTTTTTTTTTTTTTTGGGGGGGGGGTGCAATTTTAGATTTTAATGCACAGGGAGCAAATGAAAACTATGGATGGAAAGGCTACTGAAGATTTAATTCATTATACTTTGGTTTATAGAAGACTAGCATAATTAATTCGCTAGAATAGTTAAGTGTCAATGACTTATTTGTAATCGATTAAAGAAAATTAATTCATTGTTGCTAATGGTCTCTGTCCACAGCATGAAAGTTGAAGTGAATCATTTATGTTCTTGTTGTGAGGTATATCATTTCTAGAATCTCATCAGAGGTGAATTTGCACCTGTTATCTGGTTATTTTCTCTGTAAGTAGTGTGGACTTGTTATGAAATTATTGCTATTATTTTTTCACGACTCCTTCTATTGTAGTGTCATGGGCATGGTTTTTTCCCGCACTCTTCTTATGGTTGGTTTTTTTTTTTTGGGGGGGGGGGGGTGGTTGTGTGTGTGTGTTTAGAACTTTAGCCGTAGTAACCCCTGTGGAATACGTCTCTGCAGAAACCTGAAGATGAAGTTGTTCTGAGGAAAGTTCTGTTCGATGCCATTTTATCAGTGGAATACCCCTTCCTTTACCAAAATGCCAGGCTCATGCAGAGCCTAACCTTGACTAGATTAATTGTCACCCATGTCGCCGTAGAGTATTTTAGGTATGTGGAATCAATTATTGCATTTTTCTCACTGTAGTTTCAGAATGGAATTTCTAATAATCTATCCTATTGTAGAGGCAATGGGGATGAGAAGAGAGCACTCTCTTATGGAAAGGCCTTTTCAGCTTCCCATGTGCCTTTGGAGATAGTTAAATGTGTTAAAAACCAGCACAATTTGGAGGATAAAGCAAGTAGAATGAACGGAACCTCACACAGCGCTATCTTGAGTAAGTTGCTCCAGTTTTTTTTTTTTATACTTTATATAGGATTGCAGACAAGTTGATCGATAAATTATAGCTAACATTGTTCATTCTATTTAATTGACTCTCTAGAATGGCTTTTGAGCCTAGAAGATAAAGGTATTGAAGTTTTTGAAGATGATTTTCTAAGAAGTCATGCCAGGTTGGGTCTTGATTCATCCCAGGAAGGGCATCTGGAAGCTAACTTGGAGGGCAAGATAGCAAATGATGACCTTTTTTATGTTGACAAAACAAGGGAGGAGGAAAATACAAGCGAAGAGGATGAGCAAAACAAATTGGCAAGTGCTGCCTTTGCAGCGGCTGCGAAAACTATGAAGGTAACTGATAGTGGCAAGCGAAAACGAAAAGGTACAAGTACCGCAAGGAAGATTAAATCTGTCAAGTATGAACTCCTTCCAGATCCAAAGCCCGCAGTTAATGCTGGGACATCAGTTAGTAAGGATAGTTCAGGTGGTGAGAGTGAGGTGGAGGATCCAGTTGATTCAGACTCCCAGGATACGGAGTAACGAGTCTGTATAAATTGGTAAAGCCTTTAATCATGATGGATCTATTTTGGATGCTGTACTGGCTCTTATTGTGTTTCCATGCAGTGCATAAGAGGATATCTGTCGAGGGCATGCGAAATTGCTCCCTGATAAGCAAAAGGTAATGTGAAATTTCAGGGACTTGTGAGAATCCGCAGTTCCCATATACGCCGCAGTTTAGATGGTTGTAGTTGATGCATGCTGTAGGGAGTTTTGTTCTGGCGGACTTTTGGTCCCCAAGGGAGGAGTGGGAGAGGGAAAAGGGGGAAAAAAAAATGATGTAACGTTGATGGTATTATTTTAATTTTATTTAATAGTATATGCCTTTGTAAAATTTTTTAAGAATATGGTGTCATCTACATTTCATCTTCACTTTTCTTTTCTTGATTTTATTCTATATTTTTTTTAGTCCTTAATGTAAAATCTAATTATTTAATTTGAATAGATTGAGAATGTTAATTAAATTAGTTAGTATGATAAAATTAGTTAATATGATGTGTTTTATTTAAAATACCAGAAATATTTTTCAAAATTTTTTCCTTTCATCTCTTACTCAATTATTATTAGGAAAATATTAATAAAATTAATTTGAAAAAAAATTGATAAACATAAAAAATAAATTTTATACGTAGAATTAGCGTCAACTTTCCAATTAGTTCTGACATTATTACAAGCCATTCCCTTCCCTAGGCTTGGCGTTCTTTCTTTCTGCCCTTTGTAATATTTTGTTATGTTTTTGTAATTTGTATTGAACGGTTTTCATTTTTTTAAAAAAAATCATTGTTACATTGATTTTAAAATTTATTTTTATCTTTCGTTCAGTTTTGTTTGGCTGAATTATAACTTCCAGATGGTGCCCAGCCCCGGGGATCAAAAGTATTCAGTTTGCAGGATAATGAAGTTAAATTTGAGGTTGGAAGTTTATTATCTACATACCAAACTTCTAAAATCATGTTTTTATTTCTCATGTAGCCAAGAATTTTTTTTTTTTTTTTAACAAAATAGAAGACTAAGGGAGAAAACATGTAAAAGACAACAAAATTATATCACTTTGTCATCAAAATTTATAATTTTTTTAAAGCATCTCTATTAATTATAAATGTTTTCACTAAAAAATAATTCTAATACACATGATTAAATATAATAATTTAAAATATATATTTGTTACAAATGATTAACTTAATTAATTTTTTAATCTTTTCAAATAAGTTATCTAGTTGTTTTACGCAGTTCTGCAAATCGTCGTTCTGAAGGGGTAATCATCTAAGGTTGTTTTATCAAATGCCTCACTTCCTTCAGGCCCAAAAAAAAGAAGAAAAAAAGCCTCACTTCCCGGGCTTCTATGCTCATAGGAACTGTAGCTAAATTGACCTTTTTAAAAAGAAAATTGGCATCTGCATTAGTCAAACTTTTTTCTTTAATCGCATGGTCTAATTAATTCCTTTTTTAACCAAATGGTCCAACAATTTCAATGCAAAAATTAATTTTTAATCTATGTGTACTCAAAATTCGCCGACTCATGATTATTAAAAACAACAAAATCGTCTGAAGTTTATAGCAAAAGCGGCCATCTAATCTATCCTCAATTATTGTGGCCGGTGGAAAGATTGAAGGCGGGCGCTCATGAAAATACTAACACAAAGATTTTTTTTTTTTTTTGACCTGACCAACACAAAGATTGAATGAAGCGTCAGCCAATCTGAAACATTAAGGGGCAAAACCAACCACCATTGAATTTTGCTCTGCCCTTTTATTTCTGTGAAAATTCTCAGCTGAATATTCATATTTCCTCCCTTTGCTTCGCCATCCTTTAATCATCAGCTCTTCATAAACAACGTCACCCAACATAACGGATTGATACAGATTCTAATATTATGTCAGTAACGAACTCTCTACACCGCGCACTCACTCCTTTTCTTTCCATTTATAATTTACTGTTTATTAATTTTCAAAGTTTGTTGAAATTAGTTGACGTATAAAAAATTAAATACAATAAATACTTATTTTTTAAACTTATCTATCATGAGCACTCAACAATATCCATACAAATATATTGCAAAAAAATTCATTGCACTGTAGATTTTGCAAAAATAACTTTCAAATAAAAGCATGATTTTATTTTAATATTACATATAATAAATTAAAAAATCACTTATAAAAAAATTTCGTTTAATAACTTCCTGTCTTTTTTTTTTTTTTTTTGCCCGGTGTCGTTTATTTATTTACTGCTCCGTATCGTCTCTTTGTCCGGTTACTAATTACGAATGAATAATGATAAAAGGTACCGTTTACGCCAAATAATAATAATAATAATAGGTGCCGTAAAACACCCCCCCGGCCCCCTCCAAAAAAAAAAAAAGGCGTGCCTCTCGTCGTTTCACACTTTTTGGGCATTATATAATACAAGCGATGATATGGGTGGTTGCCAACTTGCAGCGAAATGGAGAACGGAGGAGGCAAGCCAGTCCATATCCCCAATCATCCAATACTGAGGAGTGAGAAATTACTGAAGGTTTGTTCACTCGCGTCTTCACCATTTTTTATTTGCTTAGTTCAACTTATTCATTTCTTCCTTCTTCATTTTTTGATGATCATGATGCGCCACAGTATATTCTGGAGAGCAGCGTCTACCCACGCGAGCCGGAGCCTCTCCGAGAGTTGAGAAATGCCACCGACAACCACCCTCTGTAATTTGCATCACTCTTTTTCTTACTTCTCTTCTTTCCATCCTTCGTTTTATCACACTTCAATTTCATTGGATTATTTCAACCCTATTTTCAGGCACTTCATCGCCGCTTCCCCTGATGTGGGTCAGCTCATCGCCTTGCTCTTGAAGCTCCTGAGCGCCAAAAAGACCATTGAAGTTGGAGTTTTCACAGGCTACTCCCTTCTCCTCACCGCGCTTAACATTCCTGATGATGGAAAGGTCGGCTTACGTTTTTCCCTCTATCATGTGAGCTATTTCCCGCCGTGCTTGAAAATCGATTGATTATTGCAGATTATAGCGATGGATCCGGCCAGAAATTTTTATGAACTTGGGCTTCCGTTCATCAAAAAGGCCGGCGTGGAGCACAAGATTGATTTCTTGGAATCCCCAGCTATGCCGGTTCTGGATAAACTCTTGGAAGATGTAAGCACATGCTCTTCTCTCTGTCCCGCGTAATTTTCAGTTTACTCATATTGAGGAGAAAAATAGATTAGATCTGGATGTGGAATGATTGGATGCGATGGATGATGCAGCCGGCAAACGAAGGAAGCTTTGACTTCGCGTTCGTGGATGCAGACAAGGACAACTACTGGAATTACCATGAGAGGCTGATGAAATTGGTGAGGATTGGAGGGATAATCGCGTACGATAACACGCTTTGGGGCGGAAGTGTAGCGATGCCGGAAGAGGAAGTTCCAGAACAGAAAAGAGAATGGAGGAAGCACGCAATTGCCTTCAACAAAGCGATCGCGGAGGATTCTCGTGTGGAGCTTGCGTTTGCTTCCATCGGTGATGGCCTCAGCATCTGCAGGCGCCTTCGCTGATTCTAAATTTTCATTCCAATCTCTGTGTGGTATCAAATATCAATAACCTTCCTAAGTTTGGTAGCAAATGGGTATAGTTGGCTCGAGAGCCAAAATGGATGTATCACAATAAATTGAATATTGAATATTTCGTACTAAATCTCATATGCATATTTAGCTTCTTGGTTAGCTTTATGCCACGTCTCTCGTGTGATAATCAAGTAGCCTTGCGCGTTGCAACGAGTCTCGGTTTTTTAATTAATGGACTGAAACAATAAGTGTGCATGGAGGCAAAATTTGTGTCTAATATAAACAATAATTTTTAAATGTTTATTAAATTTATATGACGATAAAATTCACTCAATCAAATACTGAAGAAACAATACTAAAACTATACCGTTATAATAACATGAAATGAAAGTGAACTTATCCCAGTATAAGAAATATATTTATGCTAAAGGTGATACAATATACTATTCAGGCAAAAAAAAAAAACAATATACTGTTAGCGGTGGTGAAAATTATAGAGGCACCGCCTGATTTATATAGCTTGCTTGTTAAAGATGTGGACAATACCGGCTATTAATTTTTTAATCATTAAAAAATATTTTATAATATTTTAAAAATCAATTTTAACTTCTTCAAGGATTTTTTCATTTTCTCAATTTCCTTGATTTTGTAAATATATTTCTGTTCAGTGTTCACAAGCACTTGAACCCATGTTCAAGCAATTCACTATCAACCAATCAACCACAAATGCACAAGTCAGCTAGTATTTTGTAAAGGTATTTGATTTGTAAAATATTCCTTCCTATGCTGCGTTAACTCTTGGGTTCCATTGGGTCTTGGGAATATTTGAAAGGAAAAATCTTTTTTAAAAAAATACTTCTTGAATTTCAAAATCCTAAATAAAAAAAATTACTATAAAATTGTATTGTTCAGTTAGCATTAAAGTGTAGTAAGTAAGAGTAATTTAAAATTTTGAGATTTGAGATTTCTTTTTTTTTGGATTCTCTCTATTTGAAAAAAGAGATGCATTTGTATAAAAAAAATTATTTTTATCCCGAAGTTTCAGTTACCTGATTCCTTAAATTAATTAGTGGAGTGGCTATCTAATTATCAAATATCAATATTCAACCTTCCTTATAAAAAATTATTCTGGTCAAGAATTGATTATTATAAAATGATTATAGCAGAGGTCAGGGCAGAACGAGGAAGGATTGTGACTCCAGGTTAATTTAGTCTAATACAAGGATTGGGCAAAGCGTCAGCCGATTTGAATGTTGACACTAAATTTCGTTAAACGAAGTTGAATATTGACCCACCCTGTCTTTGTGTGCTTACGTGTGAGTGTGTCTATTGGTGCTGGGCTCTTTGTAAATAATATCTTACCATCATTTGAAAGTTTAATATTAAAGATGGCGTAAATGACTTTTCTCTCGCTGAGAGCCGTACTAAAAGTAAACAGTAGGGAATGTTATAATTACGAAATTATAAGATAGTGCTATCTTCGATCCTAATTATAAGAACTAGTTGATTAATTTAAAAAGATTAAGAAAATAAGTTAAGTTATTTATTTGTAATAAATATGTGCCGTCTTTTCAAAAATATCCTTACTAATCAAGTTTGTTAACTAAAACTATCATTATTAGAAAGACTATATTAAAAAAATGTATAAATATTAGAGACAAAGTGAATTAGGGTTTGATATTTATGACCAAAATAAAAATTAAACGAAGCCTTATATTAAGAACCGGAAGCAGTATTTCTACAGTAATAGTTTAAAATGCAAGAGTTCAATGACAGTGAAATAATAAACACATCATCACTTGTGTCCGTTCTTGTCGATAAGAGTAGTTAAATGTTGTTGGCTGTGGCGCGATATGGCGTGTCATTGCCAACCTACCACTCTCACCACTTACTATCGTGATGGAGACCACTAATTTAATAACGTTAACATTCATACGGGCTAAGGGATGATTTATGAATACAGAATATTAAACAGATTTCTATTCTGATCTGTTTCTCTTAACTATTTTCAGAACTTTGAATAAGCCACATAAAAAAAAAATGCTCAGCTTTGATTTTTCATTGTTTCGCACTTCCGTGCCAGCCTGAGGGGACTTTATATAAACGATGATATAGTAGGGGAATGATACCTTGCAGCTCAATGGAGAAGGAACCCAAGCCGGCCATTATCCCCAATCGTCCAATATTGATGAGTGAGGGATTAGTGAAGGTACGTGTTCAAATATGTCTCCACCATTTTTTCATTAGCTCCATGCTGATCATTACAAATCTTGAACTTGTACACTTCTTCATTATTCTTTACTTACCGTGTATGATGTGACAGTACATTCTGGAGAGCAGTGTTTACCCGCGCGAATCAGAGCCTCTCAGAGAGTTGAGGAATGCTACTGACAACCACCCTCTGTAATTTCCTCCCCTTCTTTTCTTCTTCCTTCCGTCCTTCATCTCATCACTTCGATTTCATCGAATTTCAATCCTATTTTTTAGGAACTTTATTGCCTCTTCCCCGGATGCGGGTCAGCTCATGGCATTGCTCTTGAAGCTCCTGAATGCGAAAAAGACAATTGAAGTTGGAGTTTTCACTGGCTACTCCCTTCTCCTCACTGCGCTTAACATTCCTGATGATGGAAAGGTATAATCGCGGTTTATCTCATTTCAAGTCCATTATGTAATTGTCCCTTCCTGTGCCTGAAAATCGATTAATTGCAGATTATAGCGCTGGATCCAGACAGAAATTCTTATGAAATTGGGCTTCCGTTCATCAAGAAGGCCGGCGTGGAGCACAAGATTGAGTTCTTGGAATCCCCAGCTCTGCCAGTTCTGGATAAACTCTTAAAAGATGTAAGCATACTCTTTTCTCTGATCTTGCACATAACTTCCAATTTAATTATGTGGAAGAGAAAAACTGATCTGGTTTTGGAATGATGGGATGCAGCAGGCAAACGACGGAAGCTTTGATTTCGCGTTCGTGGATGCGGACAAGAACAACTACTGGAATTACCATGAGAGGCTGATAAAATTGGTGAGGATCGGAGGGATAATCGCGTACGATAACACACTTTGGGGTGGAAGTGTAGCGATGGCAGAAGAGGAAGTTCCAGAGGTAAAAAGAGAATGGAGGAAGCACGCAATTGCCTTCAACAAAGCGATCGCGGATGATTCTCGTCTGGAACTCACGCTCGCCTCCGTCGGTGATGGCCTCAGCATCTGCAGGCGCCTTCTCTGATTTTAAATTTTCGTTCCAATCCCTTTGGGATTACCAATAACCTTCCTACGCCCTTCTGGCAGTATATGGGAATAGTTGGCACGAGCGCCAAAAATAATGTATCGCAATAAATTGAATATTTCATATTCACATGAAATAAGATCATTTTGTGAGTAAAAAAATCATACTCTTATGAGAAGTATATTTATACTCTCAAAAACTGTTCGTTTAAATATATGTTGGGTATGATATTATAGGATCTAGATATATTTAATTAATGATATTTGAATGGTATTTTGATTGAAATTTAAATATGTTGAGATTTCAATCGGAAGCTTAAATAAAGGAATTAATAGTTAATTTTAAATTTAAATAATATCTTAATTGGGATCTGAATATATTAAATTAAGTAGGAAATATCATAATTAAATAATATGTTAGTGTACACCACAAAAAAATGTTAACGAGAGACTTAAATTGAGAGATAAATAAATAATTTCAAATTTTTATTTATTTTTTCTAAATTCTGCATCTCTAATTTAAATCACATTTGAATACATAAAAAAAAATCATATTTCTATAAGAAGTAAATTTTGAGCCACTTTAAGGTTAAATAATACAACTTATTAAGATTTTAAATCTAATTAAATATATTAATATGTGCATGGCATGGCGGAAAAATTTTTAGTTTTCATTCGAATCTCTGTGTGGTATCAAATACCAGTATCCTTCGCAAGTTTGGTAGCAAATGGGTATAGTTGGAGCGAGAGCCTAAAAGGATGTATCCCGATAAATTGAATATTTCGTACCAAGTCTCGTATACATGTTTAGCTCCTTTATTGGCCTCATGCCGCGTCTCTCTCGCGTGATAATCAAGTAGTCTTGCACATTGCAACGAGTCTTGGTTTTTTAATGGGCTGAAAAGTTAAATGTGCGTGGAGGTAAAATTTGTGAGTAGAGGAAGATCGAAAACAATGTTTAATGAACTCATTGAGAGAGATCTTTCAATTAATAATCTATCTAAAGATTTGGTTTTGTATAGGGTTTAATAGCATCGTACAATCCATATAGCCGACATCACCTAATGAGATAAGACTTTGTTGTTATTGTTGTTGTTGAAGGTAAAATTTGTGTCTAATATAAATAATAATTTTTATGTAATATAATTTTTGAATGTTTATTAAATTCATATGGCGATAAAATTAACTAAATCAAACACTAAAAAAAAAACAATTATAATGACAACAAATGAAAGCGAACCTATCCCAGGATAAGAAATATATTTACACTAAATGTGATAAAATATTCCATTAGTGTTGCTGAGAATTATATAGGTACCGCCTGATTCATATAGTTTGCCTTTTAAAGATGAGAACAATATTGGCTATTAATTTTTTAATCATTAAAAATATGTTATGATATTTAAAAAATCAATTTTAACTTCTTTAAGGATTGTTTTTATTTTCTTAATTCCCCTGATTTTGTAAAAAAATGTTTATGTTCAGTGTTCACCAGCACTTGAACCCATGTTGAAGCAATTCACTATCAAGCAATCAACCGCCAGACACAAGTCAGCTAGTATTCTGTAAAAATATTTGATTTGTAAAATATTCCTCCATCCGGTGCGCCAGATGCAAAGATGCTAATTGAACGTGCTGGTAAAAAAAAAAAAGAAGAAGATGCTAATTGAACGGCTTGGCAAAGGGAATTATTGAAGGTGAAATCGTAATTAAAGATCCTGGAATTTGAAAAATACAGATAGGAACCCGTGACAATTTTACTATGAGTTTTGACAATTTCATGGCATATTATTATTGTCAAAAACCATAGTAAAATTGTCACGGGTTCTTATATGTGTTTTTCAAATTTTAAGATCTTTAATTGCGATTTTCCTATTAAAGAACAGCAGCCTCCTACCCTTCCAGATTCAGAAATTATGTTGTCTTTGACTGGA